CCAAGGGGAGCGTGCCAAGGAAGGTATTTCCATCAACGCTGGTCTGGCCGCGCTCGGCAAGGTCATCTCTCAACTGTCTTCACGACAAGCCGGATCGCACGTTTCTTACCGTGACTCCAAGCTCACCCGTCTTCTCCAAGACTCACTGGGCGGGAATGCCATCACTTATATGATTGCTTGCGTGACGCCGGCCGAGTTCCATCTGAGCGAAACACTAAACACCGTCCAATATGCGCAGAGGGCCCGAGCTATCCAGAGTAAGCCCCGGATCCAGCAGGTCGAGGAAGGTGACAAGCAGGCTATCATTGATCGTCTGAAGGCGGAGGTAGCCTTCCTGCGGGAGCAAATCCGTAGCGCTGAGCGGGGAGGGGGCGAGCGACGCACAGCCTCTGCAGGTGAGAGGTCCGAGCGACAGAATGAGCGGGAAGTCGAGCTGCAAAACCAGCTGCTGGACGCCCAAGAAAACTACACGACCCTTAGCCAACGTCACGCGAAGTTAATTGCAGAAATGGCCAAGGCCCGCGACAACGAGCAAGCCGAGAACGATCAACTTGAGGAGTCACTGGGCGACACTGCGACAGAGCGACTGAATCGATCAAACTCGTTTGCTGCCGCTGTCGAGCAGGTTGTACTAGAATACGAGAAGACCATTCAAACCTTGGAGCAGTCCCTGTCGAGTACCCGCGGCACATTGTCGAATACCGAAGCCAATCTGTTGGAGAAGGAGACGAAGTGCACTTACATCGAGACGATCAACACACAACTGCAAGCACGCCTGCAAAAGCTCATGGATCGCGAAGCCAGCACCGAGAACTATCTCCACGACTTGGAGAACAAGCTTGATGGTCACACTTCTGGCGAAGAGAAGAATGCGACAATCATTGTGGAACTGCGCAAGGAAATTTCTCGCCTTAGAGAGAACGAGGCTTCCTGCGAGGACTACATCTCGACACTGGAAGAGCGACTTGCAGAGGCTGACCAGGATGCCGAGCTGATGCAGCGTGAGATTGACCGACTTGAGCAGGTGATTGAGCGTCAACGATCGCTCGGAAAGTTGGATTCTCTCTTGACCGAATTAGACCACATTCAAGGCGATAGCAAGGTCCCGGAACCCGAGACCGAGGGCCCGAATGGTCTTGCACGACGACAGATAGCCGATCACTCTCGCAGTCACTCTCATGTCAGCCGTATGAGCCGCGACGTCATCCCCGAAAATGTCGAGGAGGAGGCAGCAGCCAGCAAGGCCGTCGACTCAGGCGAGAAGGGCGGACCACACGGGGAGAAGACCAACGGAGTCAAGACACCTGAGGCTGATGAGCAGGCTTTGAACACCGACAAGCATGAGTACCCGCCACAAAGCCCCGCCCAATCCAAGTTTGTCCAAGACAAGCTGGAAAACGTCACCCAGGAGCTCCTCGACCTACGCGTTGAGCATGAGACGACCATCAACGAGTTTGACTTGTTGAACGCCAAGTACGAGGAAGCGTTGCGCACCCTCGCAGATCTTCAGGACACCATCGATGAGTCACGACACCCTGAACGCAAGGTCAGAGACTCGATGATGTCTGTCACTTCTCCCAACCTCACCAGACCGCCTTCCTTCTTCTCCGACGCAAGGTCGAGCGATTTGAAAGAGAATGGCCAGTTTTCGTCTCGGTCCTTGTCTTCCGAGTTGTCCTCCGCCATGGAGTCGCCTGCCAATGCCGATCCCTCTGATGCGGAGACTGCCACAGCTAAGCCCGAGGGAGAGTCTGATCCCGAGCATCTTTCGACCGAGGATCTTATGCACCAGGACCTCCTCGCAACGGAGGTTGAGAGGTTCAAGATGTTGGCAGCCGAGAAGGAGGAGGCCGAAAAGGAGCTGGCTGACAAGTACACTCAACTTGAACAGAAGCACCACGAGGCTCTGGACATGCTCGAGGAGCTCAAGACGGAGGTTGCCCAAGCCAAGGCCTTGGAAGTTACCTCGCCGCGAAGCGGACAACCTGTCATCCGCCGCAAATCCAGCCAGAATGTCATGATTATCGATCGCGCTCACCGATCGTTCGCCTCGCTCCGTAACATCGCCGCGGAGAACTTCGAAGAGCAGCCCGATGTCATGCAGAACTTTGAGCTGAACCTCAACGCCGCCATGCACGAACTCCACGCTCGTTCTGAGAGAATCCAGGAACTCGAGGCAGACATTGCATCCACCAAGAAGGAGATCGAGACGAAGATGACTATCATCTCTGGCCTCACCCGTGAGCGCTCCAGTTTGAAGGCTTCTCCCATGGACATGTCTGTCGTTTCCAACCTCAAGAACCAGTTGGAGGCAAATGAGAAGCAGATGAGGGATATGAGGGAGACTCACGAGGCCAGCGAAAAGAAGCTGATGGCCGAGCTCGAGAGCCTGCGAACTGCCGTGAAGGAGATTCCTGCAGATGACACCGAGTCGTCACCTCAAGCTAACGAGGCTGCGCTTGCCGCTGCCACGGCCGCTGCCGTTGCTGCTGTTCCTGAGGCATCCACAGATATCTCCGACGTTCAAACCAGAGCAGTGCCAACGACCGAGGAGAACGACAAGAAGATTACTGAACTCCAGACCGAACTGGCCAGCTGGCAGACGAAGCACCGGACCGCTCTCGACACCATGCAAGAAACGGAGGCCAAGATGAAGAAGACAATCGAGGAGCTTGAGGCTGAGATCACTTCTCTCAACACCAGAACTGCCGAGCAGTCTGCTACACGAAGTGACGAAGAGGTCAAGGAGATTGAGGAGAAGCACGAGACGCTGGTTAAGAACCTCCGCGATGAGATCAACGAGTACAAGGCGGCTATTGATGCCAACGCCAGCAAGGTCTCCGAGCTCGAAGCCGTCCACGAAGCTACCAAGGCGGAGTTGGAGGAGGCTATTAAGGCCCGTGACCTGCACGAGACGCAAGCCAAGACTCAGCAGAGCTTGATTTCAAACCTGGAGAACCAGATTGCTGCCCACGAGCAGGCTCTCAAGACCCACCAAGACGGTATGAAGCTGCTGCAAGAGAACCACGCCAAGGAGCTGGAGGAGATGAAGCAGTCAGAGCAGAAGGGCTACGAAGAACAGGTCGCTGTTCTCCTAAATGAGCACGCCGAGAACGTCAGACTCCTCGAGTGTGAGCTCAACGACGCCCGGGAAGATCTTATGAAGGTTGCTACCCAGGTCGCATTCGCTCTTGGTCTCGACGTCAGCATCGAGAAGATCACTGAGCGCATTGATGATCTCATCGCCGACCAGAAGGCCCTGACCGAGGAGCAGAAGAAGTCGGGCGAGATTCAGAAGCACGTCACTGAGCTGTCGACCATCAATGACAACATCCTCAAGGAGTTGGAGCAGGCCAAGTCGACCCTCACTGACTTGCTCACCGCAGAGGGCGAGCCTATCAGAAGCCCCGCTCCTCTTCCTGACCAGCTGTCTGCTATCCGTAAGAAGATCGGAGACCTGGAACACAGGAACAAGAAGAACTCCCGTCTCGTGGAGGAACTTGAGGATCAGCTTCAGAGCAACTTCGATCAGGTTCAGATGACCAACAACCGTCTGTCCACGCTGCAGACCGAGCGCAACGCTCAGATCGAGGACGCGCAGGCTGCTAAGTTCAAGGCCGAGTCTGAGTTGGAGTCTCTTAGGGCCGAGTACGCCGCTCTTCAGGTACGTGATTGTTACTCTCCCCCACCGATCTGCACATCTAACTTGACACAGGCCAAGCTTGACGAGGTATCCAACTCTGGCAACGTACAGCGATCCAACTCAATGAGCTCGCCTCTGCGCAAGAGCTCATCCGCTGCTTCTCTGCCTTCTCCTCCACCGGCTATTCCTCTGCCGCCCCTCCCTGGTGCCAACGCCGGTCCCAACGGAACAGTGCCGAGCACTCCTACACAAGGAACCCGCCCCGCCAGCAAAGACCACCATGGTGCTGTCAACCAAATCCAAGAGGACCAGGAGGCCCGCATCCGCACCATCGAGAAGCATCTCCAAGCCGAGAAGCAGCTCACTCAGACCCTCGAGGAGGCTCTCACGGACCTCGAACGCCAGTCCAACAAGGTCAAGGCAGACAGCGACGCCTGGCGCAAGCGCTGCACGGATCTGGAGGCCGAGATCAAGGAGCTCAAGGACCGTCCCGCGCCGACACCACAGCCGGACAACCGCTGGAGTCTTCACGCCGTGGAGGAGGAGCGCAAGAAGAGACAGGCTGCCGAGGCCCAGCAACGTCTATTGGAGGAGCGCATGAACGCTCTGTCCAAGAAGAAAAAGAAGGGTTCTCTCAACTGCTTCTAGGCGAAGCCCTGTTGTCTGGGATTTCCCACTCGAAGAGACCGGGCTCGACTGGACTCTTTTTCTTCATAAAAAAAAGTGGTTTCTTTTGTCGGGAAGGGGAGTTGTTTGATTCTTTTTCTCTGGCTCTTACTACTACCCCCTTTGCGACATTGTATTCTTGCATCTGCGAAATGTTTATGCTGGCCGAAGATGATTCCCCCTACGCATGGCGAAACCCAGAGACTGGGCAGGAGTTTCTCACACTGGCGGCTCGCGCTTGCGTCGTTCTACCAAGGGTTTTTGACGTTTTTCTCTTTCTCAATACCACTACGCGTCTTTTGCTCATGCGTCATGGACAAGGTGTTTTGAACCTTCACTTCTTCTGTTTTATCTTAATTATTTCATTTTACATAAGTCGTCTACGAATAGCAAAGACCAACGGCGTGCTCTGATGATGGCACGAGGGACAAAAAGGAACGGGAGACGGAGGTCGTGGGTTGTCAGTCGGAAGGACAACCTGGGTGGCATTCGTTAGACTTTTTCTTGAGACGGAGTGATCTGGGGGGCTAGCATACATCTTATACCTTTGGTTAATCCTAGTGCGCGCCGAACCGGATGGACTCGGTTGAATAAGAAGAATTTTGAAGTTCGCTCTGCGTTCCTAATTTGGTGATCTTGGTGCAGCTTCTCGGTGCTTTGGTTCATCTAAGGCTCTTGTGGAAGGGGCGACTCATTGCTCACCCTCCTCCGACGGGAGGACGTCGGGGAACCAGCCGTACGAGTCGAAATCCACCTCGAACTCGCCCATGGCCGTCTGCGTGACCTCGACGTCTTCGGCGCGGAGGGCGTCGGCCTGGCTTCTTGCACCGGTAGGCTGGGAGCTGTGATTGAAATGTTTAGTTAGAGTGAGAAAATGGGAGGTTTTGGGAGGAAGCGAGGGACAAATGAGTGATGAGATCCTACCGAGGTGAGATTGCGCCTTTGGCGTTGATGACGCGCTGCCACGGGACGTTCTCGTTGTTGAAGCGGGCGGAGGGGTCTGTTGGGAGGTGTTTGAGGCAGATGCCGACTTGGCGGGGACGTTCGGCTGTGATATGGTTAGTCGGAATTGATCTGAAATGGGATTTGAGATTGTTGTATTTGAGGTTCAAAGGTTGTGGTTAGAGGGGAAAATGAGGGGAAGTGAGGGTTGCAGGTGTATGTTGTAGGTGGAAGCAGGACTCACGGGTTCCGATGAGCCGGGCAATGTGCCCGTAGGTCGTCACCTTGCCGTGAGGGATCTCCTGGACGGCGGAGTAGACGGCGAAGAAGAATGTTTCTGCTTCTTCGGAGCGCGGCATCTTTTTGGTCGGTCAGAGGATCGGGGGAGTCGCGGAGAAGCGGGATGAGAGTGGAGGGAGATCGTGAATGCGGTTTGGCGGGGTATTTGGTTGGTGTTTTTGGTGACGTGAAGGGCGTGGAGGTAGTGCTTAGCAATTTTGGAGATGGCGCTAGGGATTTGAGGTCTGTGATTGGTCACATCGACATCAGAGGTGAATATGTACAATGCAACCGCTGCCCATCGTGTGGTATTGGTTTCGTCTCCTGATATTAGCCACACGCTGCTTTGGTGTGTCACGGGGTGATTAAAGCTTTTCGGTTTGGGGGATATTTGGTAATCTCGCGAGCGGTCGCTATAGTTCGATCTTGGGGCATTTGAGACTTTCATGCACTTATTGAAAATCACTCGGTCCCTGGTCAGAAGCTCCAAAGGTTCAGGATAGCGAAATTGACTGTACGTAAGACCGAGATATCCAGTTCGTAACCTCCATTTTAGATACTTCCAGTCTAAAAACATCCAGTCATCTGTGTGCTGCAAATACTCAATGTCCATCAATTCCGCTACCCTTACGTCGAAGCTAGTCTCTGCAGGAATCTGGTCTGTCGGTTTCACGGTTGTTCCACCGATGTGAAATTGCAATTCAAAATATCAGACATCGCCTCATCCTACGATTCCAGACTCAAGCAGCTACCCTCAGGTGCTATTTTGGCATCCAGTCTGAAAGAACTCCCCGTAGCAACCCACACCCTCGGTGGAAACATATTCAAGTGCCGAATCTACAGGTTGTGTCAGTATGCTGACCGTCTACAAAAAACAAGGCCAAGTGAATCGGGAGTAGCAAAATAAGGGGTGTGGCTGCTTACTGATGTTCACCTCAGAGTACCTCCAAGTTCCAAATGTTCCAATGTCGCACCGGCAGCGCATTATCTCGGTGGACGAGTTGAATGTGCACTCCCTGCAGCTTCTGCTGAACGCGCCGCTGTAGCACGAGAGGTTACATTAGTGAGCGGTCATGAGAAGGAATAGGCAGCAGAAAGAAAAAGGGACTTACTCCTTCTGGGCGCGTATTTGGCCCATGTCGTTGATGAAGCATTTTCCAAGGTCGACGTACCAGCAAGCCCTGTACGGCCACGCGACGGGGTTCGGAGACGGGCAGTTGTACTCGACTGTCGGGTGTTCGCTGTTACCAGTGTGGATGTGGCGGATGAATTGGCAATGGTCTTTGAGGGCGGCGAGGGCTCCGGCTGCGAGGAGGACGGGAGAAAGGATGGAGAGCTTCATGGTGGCTGGGCTGGATGCTGGCAGTGCGTGATGACGAGGCCTGGAGAGGGAGAGAGCTGAGTTGGATTTGGAGGCGGCTTTTGTACTTCAGAGTATGCAGGCCAAGGACGCCATTGACGGTTGAAATAGAGGTCTGTGTTTCTCGAGGAGTAGTTTTCTTAAGGGCAGGGTTGGCTCGGGGTTTGTTGAACAAACTCACCCATCAACAAAGGCATACTATGGGCTTTACGGCCGAAGCTCAGCTGTGACAGCGCGCAAAAGACAAACATGACAGAATACGTGAGCAACCCATTGTAAGGACGCAAACAGCACCGCATGGCAAAGTGTCCGTTGAAATCAGGGTGGTACGAGCGACGGAGTTGCATTCACATGGCTGAAAATGGAGCAATCGTCCGCTATGCCCGCCGGTCTGATATGCTTGGCGTTGGATTTTGTGCTCACATCTGCGCGCGGAGGTCTTCTGGTTTTGCGAGACACAATTACGGAACATTGAATTTGAATTGGGGAGGCGCAAGGAGGGCTAGGGTAGAGTTAGTATCGACTCCGGCAGAAGGGAAAGCTTTCGGTGCTGCGTGCCGCTCCAACGCCGCTTCAAACACAATTATAGAATCATTTCGCGCGAAATAACTTGCATTCGATAATTCCTGAAGCTGTCCTGCATGTGTCCTGGATCAAACGCAGGGATCAGTAGGATCACCTACAAACTTTCAAATCGCAACTTCATGAATTCAAAGTCGTTGCATTTAACCTCAAAACCATACACATTGTGGCACCAAATCAGACCGTTCTCATTCCGTACATAATCATCTGAGAAGTTACACGTCAGCGTATTCCGTCTTGAATAGGTAGCTCAGATGAAATGTAAAGTAGCACATACTCAGTAGTACCCGGGGAAAGGAAAACTGCCCCTCGGGCTTTTCTGGACATAGACAGAAGAAGTCGGTTGTCTTCTTGTCATACTGGCAATCATGACATGTCTTTGCAAAGTTTCCACTGCGTTTGAGAAATTGTTAGCCCGTATTGCGACATCAACTCCAGCAAGGTGCTTCGACAGTGCGTTGGCACGAAGGGAAAAGTCAACAGGGCCACTCACTTCTTTCTGTAGCCGAACACACCATCGTCATTGGAAAAGCAGACGGTCAAGGGCAACCAGCTGCAGCGTTCTTTCTTGCCAGAATCCATGCATCTAGCAACGATGTATGGTGATGCCTGGTTCTTTCGGCCATAGATGCTGTCTGGATCCCAGTAACGGACCTCGGAACAGCTGTCGTTGAAGCCTCCGGCTGCAAGCGCTTGTCGGATAGCGATGAGCATGATAATCAAGTTTGCAATAAGTTCCATGCTGCGGTGTTTGTAGTCTGACGAGAATTCGGGAGCTCGGGGCGTCTAGGAGGATCTCCGAGAGAAACAGGCAGCTTCAGGAGACCCTTCTATACCATCTAGACACAGGAGGAGAGGAGCGGCGCTAATTATGATCCAACTTGTGAACGACAAGGAGAGATAGTGTCAATATGAACATTCGGGCTCGTTGAATTTCATCATGATGCAAGATTTGATTACTTCAGGCAACTGTCGTTTACATATCGTCTTCCTTTGCGTTTGCGGGGTTGCGGTCTTTGAGAGGGTCGGTGCGAGAACCTCGTTTCTGTAAATGGGACAATGCTCTTTCCATTGTTATACTGAACAATGTATGTTCGGAGTACATTTAGACATCGACTATTCCGGCTCACGCCTGTACACAAACCCGAAGTCGTGTATCATTGAACTTTCTCGGGCTACAACTCTTCTCTCGTCTGTCAGCATCCATACGTTAGAACACAAGTTGAGAATCTCGAAGTGCACGTCGGGTGGCGCGTAATCGTAATGAACCGGCGAGAGCCATTCATCGACTTCGGCAGTGTTTGGATGCCCTCGACGAACTATCCTGGTGTCGCTGTGCTTGTATGACAACTCCCTCGTGTTGCTAGCTCCCTTGCATTGCAAAGCTGCCTTGATGTTTGCGAGCAGGCTGCAGTCAAGTCCCAGGGTTACTGATGCTTGCTTGATATGATTGGAATATAACTTTTATGAACAGGGCACTCCGTTTCCGTTAAGAAATCGCATCAAAGGAGGGATGAAACAATGAACAATATGTAATGTAGCTATTTAATTGAAATGTTGAAGTGCCTCGATCGACGCTGCATGGTCTCTGTTGGCAGGCGGATTTTGTGCATTTTGCCCTTCCAAAAGCAGTCAACTTCAGATGGAACTGACAAAATGCCGGCCCTGAAAGTAGACCACAGGATAAGGATAATCAACCAGTGCCGCAGTAATCAGCATACTGCTTTGATGAACTGTCAGGGTTACCCCACCACTAATGCCTCGTCAGAATCATTCAAAGTTGAAGTAAGTGATGAGAGCATACCGTGGGAAAAGGGACTTCTTTTCCAGAACCTCCAGCTACTGCGAAGGTAAGGACGAACATCATGACCTTTGCACCTGCATCAAGGCCACCACCGACAATGTAATTGTACTTGCCGAACCACGCAGGGTGTCGGAGACGCATGTACCACTGTGACCACAGCCCGGTGGCGACCTGGGACCAGATGACTGAGGTCGTGCCGGATGTTGTCTCTGAGGCGTTGTGGAATACGACAGGGGTGACGAGCTTCCGGACCTCCCAGCCATAAATCGTCTTGTACTTGCGCGAGACAAGCCATAGAGCGACAGGAATCGCAGCACCGATCACAATGGAGAGAGGGATCCTACGAATGGTAAGACTCATTTCATATCAAAAAATCATCGTCGGAAGTACTGACCAACCGTATCCGTCCTTGTTGAAGCCATAGACGTACTTTGCGAGAGACCAGGTTACGGCAGTCGTGTTGAGAGACTGGATCTTGCGTCCACTCCACTGATTATGGGTCAGCAATCCGATTAAGATCAACGTAGAGAAGAACTCACAACTTGGTTGCCGATCGGGTCTAAGAGAATCTCTCGCCGGTTGGCGACAATCGTATCCATGATCACGTAGTTCAAAGCCGTTCCGAACAGGCTTCCCCACGTCTGGAGGAGGAACATGGTCCTCCAAGGAATCTTGAGATACTGTGCCATCTTAAGGTCGGTAGACAGAAACACAGAGAGAACCGTGACTTCGTGACTAAACATGGAGAAGTAGAGGTTTGCAACTGGTTTACCCGGTTGCAAGACACCGCAGAGCATCTTGGATAAGTTATTTGTCGCCACGCTAGTACCCAAAAGGCCATACAAGCAAAGCGAGAAGGGTGCAACAATGCATCCAAGAAGCTGGATAGTCAGTAAGAGCATTCGTATTTATCGTTGGGGAGGCTTACAATTGCGCAGACATAAGCCCATGCATCCAGAGTTGTGTGTCCTTTGATGACGGCCCCAAGTCCAGTGAAGAAGCCAACGAGAAGGATCGCAAGATACCACCACATGGGCACATCCTTGTAGTTCTCCTGCATGACCTTGTAGTGAGGGTCTGTTTCAGTTTTCTTCCAAGCTTGTATCAAAGACCTCTTGATTCTTCAGAAGTTAGTTGATGTGGATCAGACTTGGGGCCAATAAACTCACAGAGGGCCGTAGAAAAGTGAGATGTGAGTGATCAAGGCTCCAATGGCAGCCATCGCCGCCATGTTTGCCCAGACGTTCGACGCAGTGAGTCGCGGAAGGCCGTGTATTTCAAGTGCCTCGGTATCCAGGATGGCATTCTGGCCAAAGACAGCAGTCTGGTTGTATACCTTGCCAGTTTTCGCGTCAAACATGGCTGTCGACATGAACGGGAACCTTTTGGCACCCCATGCGCCGCCGTAATAGAGAGAAAAACACATGATGTATGACAAGACGATGCCCACCCAAGAGTTGGCTTGCTGCAGAAGCGGAAGAGACATGTACCGGGAAGTAATGTACTGCCAGTCAAGAGAGAAATTGAGAATGCCCTGTCCCTCGTTGGAAGAAATGCCACCGAAGATGGTCATCAGGACTTTGCGCGTTGGAGGGGCCGCATTCATTGATGCAAGACAGGGGATGGAGATGCCGTTCAACCAAGGCCAGATGTACGATGCGATCGGTTCCCAGATGAACATGCCGATGGAAGAGAATCCGAACATGCGGAGACGTTCTCGATTGTTACCCTTGGGATCGCGGTGAAGAGTCTGGTAGATAGAAATCATAGGGAGGCATTGCCACCAGACCATCTCACTGGCTAGTCTGTGTTAGTATTGCCTGATTGGCCAATTATCGGGTGTGATCAAAAACTCACGATGAACAAGAATCGAGCGCAAGAGTCCGACAAGACCGTATCCGAAGATTGAAGCTGAGAAAACAGTCAGAATAGCTGTGGCCGTATCGGTGCTTCGGTCATAGAATCTACCATCTGTCAGCCCTGGAAAAGTCAGCGTCTACGGCACTTTACTCACAGCCGCTCTGCGCCGAATACCTGCACGATGGCAGCACCGTTTCCGCTAGACGTGGAAAGGATTGAAGCCACCGCGTGCTCCTTCAATCCGAAATGGCCAGGGTTGATGAAGTGAACGACTGGCCCGAGCCATCTCGCCTGAGACGGTAGGAATTTCTCAACGTGGTGTCGGCGCGGCAGAGCAACAGACCATGCCACGCCGATCACATATGCCATCAGACACAAGAAGCTGTCGACTCAAACAGTTAGACAAAGATCCCAAAACTTTTGAGTATACCGTTTGCATAAAACACTCACACCGAAGCGAAAGAAACATCTACGGGCTTATAGAAGTAGCTGTAAAGAGCCGGTCAGTATCTGTCAGAATGGGCCGATTGGCGAGTCTGATATTGGACGCACATCTGGTTGATACAGGCTGCGAGAGCGGTGAGGCCTTTTTGGCGTTAGTTTACACAATCTTCCATCGTCATGCGTATACTCAAGCCGTGAGAGAGTCTTACCGGATCCAATGATGAAAGATCGAAAGGTGCAGGCCCGATCGCCATCGTCTTGCGTTGACACAACATATCTTGCAACATCATTGCCGTCACGGATAACAACGCCGCCGTTCACCAGCTGTCTCTCGTCATCGGCCTCGTTTCGCTCAGGGTCTTTTAGATTCAAGCCATCGTCAGACTTGCGGTCTTCCTCAAGTGCTGTCGTATTCGGCGCTGTCGAGTTTTGTGCCCTGCTAGAAGGGGATGTCGCTAGCACATCATCGCTCGCTGCAGCGTCAGTAGAGACGACAGTAGCCGCCTTTGAACCCGCCATGCTTCTCCCGCGACTTTCTCTAGTAAAACGCTGATCGAGAGAAAACGTCGTTGAAATCCGTGGTCTCCCACCGGCAACCTCATCCCCCACCCACGTTTATCAACCATTGCAGTGTCGTATCGGTCCGCGAACTGCTTATCACGTCAACGACCGAATCCCTGTTCGAACCGGTCGCTTTTGTCCCGGACCCACGACCTTAAGTGCAGCCAAGCCTCTTACGGCGGAGTATTGACCAATTGGTGGCATGTTTGTGTGAGTTTCTGCGGAGTCTGGACCGGGAGTGGAGGTTTTAATCATTGACGTCGGGTTGACTCCGATCCTGAAGCCGAATTGTCGGGATTCATTTTTGAGAAGACGAAAATTTGGGCGCAGTGTTCAAATGGCGCCAGACTTGCCAAGTCAATCGCCATTTTTTGTTGACCCACAGTCCCGACAGCCCGGAACGGGTAGTATTCATCAATAGCGGAAGACACTATCGGTACCTGAGAAGCAAACGTCCATGTTACTTGGGTCGTGAAATCTAGCTGATCATGCTGGGGAAATGATGGTAATCCCAGATTGTGTTATCTTTTGATACAAAATTGCTGGTACTAAGTTGTTGCAAGACAGATGCAAAGCCTCGAGCTACGGACTCACATCCGACTAGTGGTCTACCCGTCATCCTTCCGCCTCCCTGCTACCGTCGGCTTGATCTTAGCTGTGCGATTCCATGATTTCTAGGTCCATATGCCGAAGCAAGCCCCATTCTTTTAGCAACCCCTCCTCTCCATTGGGTGGTTATTGGCGTCGAAATTGGGTTCGCCGACCCCAAAGAAATAACGGATGTAAGACTCCCTGAAATGAAGGTAGCGACAACCTAAGCAGTTGCCAGGATCGGCGTTGACGGCATGGTTCCGAGCATCGCTGACTTCTGTTTTCTATTGGAATCAGTCAGCCGGCATGCTCACCTTCAAGACGCCGAGCAGTCACAATCCTGGGGTGAAAGATTCAAACGTACCGTCACGCCGCTTTCGTTGCACACAGCAAAATAGTGCCCGTCACAAGCGGAGACGTAGCACGTTAGCTTTTCCATCTCAAGACGCGGGTTTCCCCAGCGATCATTGAAGACCGCCGCCGCCTTGCGGAGCGCAGAGTGTCCGCCTCCGCTGCCAGGATTGTAGCAGGTCCACTCGTCCCAGGGTGGTAGGTTGCCGACACCTTGTCTAGTCAGCAACTCGACTTCTTTCTGATCCCTCGTGGCTCTATCATCTCCGATGGCGACAGCCGCGGTGGCTGTGACAAGGAGCGCCAGTGTTGTAATGGTAGGCAACAGGTTCTGGGACCAGGTGATGCAGGGTTAGAAATGGTTGAAAATTGGAGACGAAAGAGGCAGTAATAATGCTTACCATTTTGAACTTGCTTCAACTAGACTGATCAAAGTTACCTTGGTCCAGGGTGTTTTTGAAGTTATCTGCAAGCTGAAGGTGTAGAGGCGATGGAGTTGTCTGTGAACAGAATGTGTCCCGGGACCACACTGGCTCATATTTATAGAAACCCACCGCAGCAAAAGCCTAGTACGGACCGAGGTGGGCTAGAAAATCCCTCGACAGAGTCCTGCACAGAAATTGTACAGGATACAGCTTCCTGCCTTTCTCGGAATGCCAAGGGTCTAGCTTACGCAAGGCGGCGACGATGATGCCTTCGAGGATCGCACAAAGCCTAGTCTGGAGGTGGCGTTTGACACAGCGCGGTACATAGTCATGGTAGTACTGCTTAAAAGAGTTGAAACATGGATAAAATAAGACCGCAACGTGAAACATAGACTCAGTCCTACGTCAGTCAGACTCGTGAGGCTAGAGAATAGGCACTGTCGTTCAAGTGGATAAAGGCACCAAATGTTCTGACGTCTTTAGTTCTGTCTCATTTTTGTTTACGTACTACTCAGATGACGTTTCTTGGATTGGACTTCGATCTTACTTGGAAAATGGTTCTCTCATCCTTAAGCTTTCAACCCTACTCTGTTCCCCAAATGCTTTCACATACTCAGTCTCCATCTCCTACCACAGGGGCAAGAAAATTGGAACTGAGCAAGCTTGCTTTACGCGATACTGAGAACAGGAAATTCATGCGTGGTCTCGTGACTATCAACAGCTGGGATCTCCGTGTCTCAACAGTGGCATGTCCCCGAAGAGGCTAAATGCCTCTCCTGGCCTCATTTTCTTTCAGCCCCGAAAACTTGATAATATCTCTGCTATACTCTCGGCTCCCACCTTAAGGCATTTTTAGGTGGTCTATAGGAATGGGTGGGACGTTCCTTTCCGTTGCTGTTCCCGAGTCCACTTGGAACAAAATACCGTAGCACATCTCGAACATGCATAATCTATGGGCCGAGAACGCCCTGTGTGTTCAAGGCCTAGCTTATTTGCGTTGGCTATTATATTGACGACGCATGTCGAGATTTCAAATCTGATACTCAAACCAGACAAGAAGACAACTCTAAGAACGCAAGGCTGCATCACTTTCAATTGAGGGACTTAACGGAGGAAAGTACCAAAGAGATAAACTTCGATGGGGGAATCAGTGTTTAGCACTAAAGCAGGCCAAGGCGTATTATCGTTCAATCAGAATTGTGCGATGCCTATTTACATCCTGGTGGTGCTTTCTTTCCCTTGGGGCAAATGCCACGCTGAATTCTCTTGTTGCGGGAATCAGGGACACCCGGAAATTCCCCAGAGTTCCTGCTTCGAAGATAAGCAGGATCTATCTGGACATTTCCTTTCACTAGTTTGCTGACACTAGCACCGCCAAATCCCGAGGCAACGGTTGAGGGCGTCGCAAGTTTACCAGCGGCATTACGGATATTGTAACCCTGTCTGATGTTAATCACTAGAGGCGCCCTATACGAGAGCTTAGCCATACCCCGGCCGAACTGGGCTGGGCAGCGTTCACAAAGACGGCAGATAAGGCGGCGCAAACGATCGCCGCCGCATGAATGCAGATGATCATGTTGATGAAAGTTGCTCGGGGCTGGAGTTGTTCTAAAATGTGCCCAAGGTTGACAGGATAAAGCGAAGTGATTTACAGCCAGGCTTCAGTCGGGAATTAGTGTCTGACCTGAGAATGATACGCGGTAAAGGCTCGGTTTAAGTACTTCTAATGTGTATCACCCAGGCGTAAAGCATTAGGTAGGGAATGCCTTATCAAAACTCCACGAGTTAATACCCACGCGGGGTGAATGACATTTAGCATCTTCGCTCACATACTGAGAGGCTGGGATGAGAATCCTTACCCTCTACTACAGATTACCTAACCGCGGGCGGTTTCAAAAGAAGCTTAAGCAAGGGGCCTAGTAAGTTGATATATTAAAAGTTAAACAATTTGCTTGACAGATAGTCATGTTCTGTCCTAACTATACTATTATGAAACACTGCCCATTGTTCTAGCATTATTCTCAGAACCATAGTTCTGCAGCATCCCAAGATAGAGTTCTGCTATCCTTCCGTTTCCTTCGTACCTTCTTCAAAGTTTCATATAGCAGGTTGTTGCCTGCGACCACACCTTGTCGACTGTTGTATGGGTCTGGCGGGGACATTTGTAAGGGCTAGGATGGAAGACAAACTTCCACTGCCAACCTATGGGGTTTCATATGAAGAGGTGCGAGTCACCAGAGACCTCTACACACACAAGCACGACCAAGTATTTCGTTCCCTTAACAAGAAGCCGAAGTCAGCTTCACTATAACACACCAAAAACCTCAGAAAGAATCTCATTTGCGACTCCAAGCTTATCGTCGAAAGGAGCGAGAAACAAGTCAGACGTTTCTTGATAGGTACCTGTGCCCTCAGCCAGGAAGCTCAAAAGAGGCAGTGCTCCTTTGTTAGAATTTTACGATCATCTGATTGATAATGCTCCATTCTCGCAGCTAGCATCTGCAACCAGTGAGTCGAACTTGCCTAACTCGGCCTAATCTCTTGGTCGTAGTGAATAAACCCCCCGTTTCACCTGGATTTGGATTTCATGTTTTCAAACGCCAACTGTAAATATTTGGCCTTCAGTTTCACAAGGACCGCGGGGGGGTTCCATTTTAGAACCTGCAGCCCTGCTTGACGAAGTTTGATGGGCACTGATTTGTGATCATACTTACAAGTGCTCTGGTATGGAAAGCCGAGGCACAGGCATTGGTCAGCTGCTGGATCTATGTGTGAACTGATGCGGAATCCTACAGGTGCTATGATGTAGCTTCAACGGTACGGAGGACGGGTATTGATTTGTGATCATACGAACAACTGCTCTCATAAAGGATGCCGAGGCACGTTAAAAGGAAAGTGAAATGGTTATGGAAAAGGAGACTAATCATACATGCGTACCTACTGACTCAAACTCTACTTAACCAAACTCTCTCGTCACCTCAGTGCCTTTCGGCCCCGCAAGGTTGACGGCCTATCTGCTACGCTCTATCCACGGCTACCTTGTAAGCTGCGAAGACCGTGCTACCGTTGGCATGGCACGAGCGAGCTGTGCTTCGGTCTTGGCCAGCCTCTCCTGGAGCTGCAGCAACTGTTCATTGCGCGTGCGACGCTGTACGACTTGATTATAACTACATGGTTGGCTGAGACGTTCCCAACGTCTGAAAGCCGATGAATATAAGTGTTAGCGTTACTTTCAATAGTTGGCAGGCCCGCTGAGATGTGGCTATCCCATACCGACGTGGCTACACGAACCCGCACGTTGGCAATGCTCTGTCGCACCGTACTTTGCGCTCCTTAAACCTTACAGTTAGACACAGCCTTGTGCAGCGCTCATATGTAGCGAAATGGCTAGATCTCTTGCCTGCATATCTCACAAGCATTGCGCGCCGTGGATGAGCTGTTGTCCTGCATCATACCAGGCGAGCTTGTCCTCGTCCAGCGATGATGTGACGGTTAGGTGGTGGGCAGTCGTCTTCCTTGCCGAGTTGTGGGATGGGCGGTGATTCATCCAAGAAAGGATGTGAAGCATTGCTGACCTGCTGGAGAGAGGAAAGCAAGACTGCGGCGCAGAGTCCTGGTGTCGGCTGGTGAGGATAAGGGCTATGCGAATGAGGAATGCTCAGGGCCGATCAGCGAGACTCGTGTTGAATCCCTTTCCCTGTCAGTGAACCTGTTGGCAGCTGGTGAGGGCTGACATGCAGTAGACTGAGCTCTCATTGTTGAGCATTGAAAGGACATCCGCACACCACAAGAGGAGTACTTAAAGTGTCTGCTCCGCCAGTAATGGCTGTAAATGCCACCAAAGATTCAATAGCATTTGTTTCAATACCAGAATATGATAGGTTGGTCGAGTCCTTGTAGCTCGAGACCAAACTCTGGTTCGGTTGCCCCTGCGGAGGACCGAGATAGCATTTTTGGACACAGGAATCTATTAGATGAATCTAACGGAAGTGCAGCAGGCTTCGTTTAACCCGCCAACAGGTGTTTGTAATTGCTACCGTTCAAAAATTGACATGAGCTACGCGTAATAGCAATGGGGGGACATTAGCACGTTTCTGTGTTCAGAGGCGGTATGACGAACTATGATTCATAATGGCTCAGCGCCACTAGCGCATTAGTTTAATTGATAGGCACTGAATGGTGCCCCTAAGCTCGTTTCGTTGTAGAGCGTGGTCAAGCTGCTTCAGCCTCTTTCATTCATTGACTACGATTTAAGTAACCTCCAACAAACCAACATCCGTCTTTCGAAAGCCCGGACCTGCAGCAAAAAATTGAAGTGTTCAAACATAGTTTTTTGAACAATTCGCATCATGTCGAACCTCAACCACGTAATAGTCTTCGGCGCAGCTGGCTTAGTCGGCTGGTCAACCGTGGAACAGCTGCTCTCCAACTACCCCGCTGAGGGATCATTCGAGAAGATCACCGCAGTGATCAATCGCCCGCTGCGCGAGTCAGAGTTCTACTGGCCACCGGAATCTGCGAACCGGCCCAGGTTGGACATAGTCTCTGGGGTAAACTTGATGAACGGCACTGCCGAAGACTTGTCCAGACAATTGAAGGAGAAAGTCCATGGGATAGCTGACGTCACCCACGTCTTTTACTTTGGTAAGAAAGCTTTCCGTTGGGATGGACGAAATCCGTATTCCTGACAGAATCATAGTATTCAAGGAGGTTAACGATGATCATATTCTGGAGTGCCAGACCAATGGCAACATGATGCAGCGTGTTGTTGACGCCATCACATCTTTGTCACCTGGGCTAAAGTCCTTCATCTACCCTGGCGGAACAAGAGTACGTAGAGACTGCCCAATAACAGGACCTAGCAACTGATATTTCTAGGGCTATGGCATATACGTCCCCGGAGGAACGTTCCAAGCTCCACTGAAGGAGTCAATGGCGGACAACCTCCCTGAGGACTATGCTAAGACGGTCGCCTATCCCTGGTACAGGCAGCTTCTAGACAAAGCTAGCGAGGGCAAGAGCTGGACGTGGACAGAAGTGTGCCCGGATGCGGTTGTGGGTTTCACTCCAAATGGATCCGGGTGGTCTCTTGCTTTGCACTGGGCTCAGTACCTCTCACTGTATGCTCACAATCACGGCGTTGATGGCACGGAAGAGCCTTCGATAGAGGTCCCGTTTCCTGGCAACGCAGCAGGCTACAACAGCCTCTTCACCCCGGTGTCTTCTCGCACACTGGGCCGCATCGCTGTTCATGCTTTGCTAAATCCGGACAAATGTGGCGGAAAGATCATCAACATGGCCGACAGTGAGAAGCCGACCAAATTTCGAGAGATATGGCCAGCGCTTGCCAAGTGGTTTGGGCTGGAGGGCGTGGACCCAGTCGAGGATGACCAGGCTCTGAAGCCCGGCGAATACATCAAGAAGCACAAGCATTTCTTTGCGGAGAAGGGCTTCCCGAAAGCCTCTTCTTCGGGCGTGGGTGCCGGAGCGTCTCAACTTGACAGCGTGGGATACTGGCTGTCCTTTGACCGGCAGCTCAGCTTGGAGCGGCTCCGTTCTGTGGGATTTTCGGACGAGAGAGATCCGACCGAAGGGTGGCTAGAGGCGTTTGAGAAATTCAGAGAAGCTGGTATTATCATGTAATAGTATTTACAAAGAAGTGAAGTTATTTGTTTCCTGATTAGCGAACGGGCCAGATCCCTCTTTCCACATGGCTTGACTGCTTGCTTATCACACGATTTTTAGTATGGTCCTGCCACCATTCCTGTGCTGCAACGATTGTGTAGTCGCCTACTTGGGCCCGGTTGGCTTAGCGGTGTTGGAAGTAGCGTTGCGTCCCTTCATGTTATTGCGGATGTTGTCGTACTTTGAAACCGGGTAAGAGATCAGGTTCTTGGAGCGATCAAGCTTGCCCATCCAATCTGCCATGTTGCGGACGATGCTCTCATCTCCCATTTTGTCCCCAGAAGCTTCCCAAAACATGGCACCTCCGAGCTTCTTTTTCTTGATGTACTCCTGCTTGTACAGAGCGCTCTTCAGATCATCATACGAGACCAGTTGCTGTGTGCGATTATCATAGGAGTAGGTTGCCTTGACCACATTGTCCCAGACAACCCTGCATCCGGGGCGAGGGAGATCCTTGTAGACAAAGATACCGGGCTGGGCTAAGGTTCCGTTTGGCAGGCCGCGGTACGACTGTCCCATGCCCTTGGTGTTACTGAAAGCACGGCCGTACAGCGGCATACCGAGGTTGATCTTCTGAGCAGGGATCCCGGCCTTCGTGTAATCCTTCACCGCCTTATCAATGCTGGCTCTGGTGCTCAAAGGGGTCTTCTTGCTTGTGAAAACATTCGATTGATGACCAGTAGTGTTCTCCCACGAACCGGCAAAATCGAAAGCCATGAGAGACCAGAAGTCGAGCGACTTGTCCATGCCTTTGAAGTCCAACTTGGCGTAGTTCTGAGGCCCAGCCGGCGCGGCGAATCCTAGCGTAAAATGATAGCCGTTGGCATATTTGACCGAGTACTGATCGAGGCCTGTTCGAAGCTCGGATAACAATTTGACGGTATTCGCAATCGTCTCGGTGGTGTTCGGATACTCGTAGTCAACATCCAACCCGTCTAGACCGAAATCGGCGACCATCGTCACAGAAGAGGCGACAAAGTTGGCTCTCAGCTTCTCGTTTGCAATGACTGGGGCAAACTTTGGAGACCAGTTGTATCCGCCAATTGACATGATGACCTTCAATTGCCTGTTGGCCATTTTCTTCATGTATAGCTGCTTCACTAATCCATAGGCATTATTGCCGGGCTCCGACACCTTGTCTTTGCCAAAAGACTTTCCAGTGTCAGCCCACGGGTCGGATGATACCCTAGACATGTTAGCGTCACTGACTGTGCCAATATGATATATCACTGCCTGCGTCACTCACACGGTTCCATTCGGCAGGATGTCCGCAAACGCGTAGAGCACATGCGTGATCTTGTCGATGGGGATGTTATCAGGGTTGTATCCAGCGCCGTATATGCTCCAGTTTGTAACATATAGAACATTGCGGTGCTGTCCGTTCATAGGAGTGCTTCCGTTGGTGGGATGGCTAGTGTTCCTTCGTCCACCTCCGCCCCCCGCGCCTCCTCCACCGCCGCCCACCCCTCCCGGTTTGTTTCCGCGCGAACCACTGCGCGAACCATCAGGCTTGCGACCCTTGTCTCCTTTACAAGCCTCGAAGGGGAAAGCGAGAATTTGTACTGCGAACAGTGACGCGATAAGTGTGGAGAGCCTCATGATGGGTGCGTAATCTGAATATGGCCAATATTGGTTACCGCCGAAGCTCACGAGAAGGCGGCGTCATAATGAGAAAATGGGCGACTTTTCCTGGACTAAAAGAGGTTTTCGACCATGCGGAGGCGAGTAGATTCCCCAACAGCCAAGAAATTGAAGCTCTACAAGCTTTGGGGGGACGCGAAGCTCTCCCGTTTTAAGCTTTGGAGACAGGGAAATAGCAGCTATCAGAGTTTCCAAAGGGCACATCTCCCGCTCCTCCATTCAAACCGACGGGCTGTCACTGGATGCCACGGGTGCAGCATCTCAGACCTGCCGGTCGGAGTATGACCCCCAGCGATGATAGTTCATCTGCACATTTGCCCTCCGACCTGTCTTTGGCGTTCCACGCAGGACAGTTGAAATAGCTCGCGACGTTGCATCACGGTAAACAATAATCAGGTCCCAATTCCTCCTCAACCTATTCTCCATCGTCGATATAGCATGGAGCGTTCGACGTTACCCCTCAAAGCTTGTTGCCTAATTCCCCCTTGTTCCGGCGGGTTGGTAATCGCCGCGCTGGAAAGACCGCCGTTTTACAAACCGCACTATCCCTCAACGGCTGACGACACTTCAACTATGTTCGGCGCACGAGTCACGCACCCCTCGGAGACATGCGCAGACTCACTGGCCATCATTCTCTGGCAGACGTCAAGCATATCATCCCAAGTAAAGGAGGGGTAAGGTGCGAAACATTGACGCGCCCGCTGCCGAGGCCAAAATGATGGATCCAGAACCAGCCATCGGAAAGTCTGCATCTGCTTGTTGAAATGCACGAAATTTCGTCGACATACTTCCAAGACACACGAAGGCCATGCAGACCTCCCAAGGCGAACTGGGAGTTTGTTGCGGAGCGCCATGGGAATATGATTTCGGTGGATTTAAATCGACAGATCTCAAAAGGCACCGGTTCCTACTGGCTGTGGCTACGGTGGAAGATGCATCCTGCGTTAGTGATGACAAGTGGACTTTGGTTCCTGCGTATCATTCAAGCATGTCGCATCAGCGTGGTATTCTGCAGCCCAGATGAACCGGGGCAAGTACATTTTTCGAACGGTCATACAACGTAACTGCCCTTGAAGGAGCATGTACTGATATTTGAGTGATGAAGCTTTGGTCGAAAGACTAGGTATATATGCCGCGGAATTAGGAAAATAACCACCAAAAGCCCAATCTAAAGTTCCTTGGCAAAATTTGTATTAGCCGCTTTTGCATCAGTTCCAGCTTGAACGGTCTCTGCATCCGCCAGCTTGGGATTCTCCCCATCTGAAGAAACATCAGCGCTGAGGGCTGGCTCATATCCATATTCTGCCATCTCTGGATGCCGCCTGTCCCACCACAGCATGCCAAGTTGAACCAGGATCGTGGCGACCGTGAAAGCCGTAGTAAGTGGGAATCCGACGGGATATCTGGGTGCGTCGGCAACGCGGAAAGCTCTCAAGGGGATCGTGGCATGGCCGATGTAAACAATAGTGACCGTCATGGCCACGATGATGGACCGAGCCTCCGGCTCCTTGCGGAGAATCTCCGCCATCCATGCCATGAGTGAGGGGCTGCCGGCATTGGTACCGTAGGTCAGGAAGTAGAAAGCAAGAATAACCTTGTGATCGGAGGGCCATCCGCAGAGCACAGCCAAGCAGATGCCGTGGGCAGCAGCTGAGAAGACGCTGATTTGCCAGCGCCAACGCTTCCAGTCGGAAAGCCAATTTAGGCCGACGTTTGTGACGATCTGCAGGGCGTATCCCCCGAGAGGCAAGATGTTGACCTGGTACGTGTCATATACCCGGTTCCCGGCTGCGTCCTTGATGCTCTCAAGATACAAGACGAAGTACGAATTGGCGCGATGGGCCCAAGCTCCGAAAGCGAACGAGAAGAGGTAGAAATAAGTGATCGGGTGGACGATGAGCTTCCGCAGCTTCATCTTGAGAACGGAGGCGGGGATCCTCTTGGATGTGTTGACACCGGAGTTGCCCATGCGCTCTCGTGCAAGGCGCTTCTCATTCTCTGTCAGGTAGAGGGCGCGAGTGTTGGCGGGAGAATCCGGGACGGTGACGAAGGCTAAGAGACCTTGACCGACAGTGACGGCGCCGGAGATGATGAAAAGCCACTGCCAGCCGGCGAGACCGTGAACGCCATTCATGTCGCGGTACAACGCGGCTTGGAGTGCACCGAGGAACATGGCGCCGGCGACGTCGCAGACTGTGAAACAGGCCACGCGAACGGCGAGCTCGGCGGGAGTATACCAGTTGAAGATGAGAGCAACGACACTGGGCCAGAAGGCGGAGGAAAACAGGCCGAGGAAGAAGCGAAGACCGAAGATGGTTTGAGCGTTGGGTGCCTTGTACGTGCTGCGTGCCATTCGTGAGTTTGGGCTCAGGGACAAAAGACAGGGAGTACTTACAAGAGCACGAGCAGTCCCCAACTCATCTCACAGAATGGGAGAAACATGGACGGTCGGAACTGTCTTGATGTTAGAAAAGCCCCGGTTGTAGACAGCCTGACGCCAGTTGCATACCCTCGTCTGAATCAATTGGCCAGGCACGAGGCCTAGGGCGTATCCGATGGAGAAATACGTGTTGAATTCGACCAGTTCGTTTCCGTACAGGCTTAGAGACTCTCTCATGCCCGAAACGTATGCCTGCGTCGTCGCTGACTGGTCCATCTCCTTCATGATGCCTGCAAGGAACATCCATGCCAGCAGCATTACATCCAACTTGAAGACGAGCACATTGCGCGCGTTCCGGAAGTACGGTATGACCTTGGAAATGTGCTTGAAGATGCCCTCTTCGGGAGGTCCATAGTTGATGGGATTATCCGTTGACGGCTCGGCCGTTGTCACCGTTCTTAACTCGCCCATGGTGGCCGCCTTCGCCTGTTCGTGACGACAAATTGCCAACGAAGCGTGCGGAGCTAAGAAAGCGGGGGACGATCGACGGGAGAGATGGTCGCGATAACATCACAAGGAGTTCGGGTCTGGGTGGGCTGAGGACTTTAAGGTTATATACACGTCCAGCCAAGGTTGCGTCGTATTAGCAAACATAAAAGCATACGATTCATGTAAGCCGGCGACCGAAAGAAAACCCTTCTGCATGAAGCGATATTCCAACGTCGCGATCTAAAGATTTGCAGCACCATCCCGCGCCCACGTCCCATTCTGCTTGTTTTCCAAGGACGCCAAAGTCTGGGCAAACCCCACCAAGCTTTCCGTTCTCTGCGATTTCAGGTCAATTCCCGTCCATCGGTGGGTTCGACCTCCAATCATATCCGGCGCCAGGGTTCCGCGCCGGTGGGTTGCGGGCGAGGGCCGGGGTGGCGGGGAAAATCGGGGATCAGGAAAACTGGAGCGACGTCGGATTTGGGTCCAGATAAGCCCTGCCGCAGGCGATTGCGTGACTGAGGACCCAGACTGCGACATCTCTGGACCGTTCCTTCAGTGCTGCGGGATAGCTGGTTTCTCCCCGCATGAGGAAATTTTTGTCGGGTTGTCGGCGACAATGCGATGAGACACAGTCAGGAGGACGTTATCGGTCAGTCAGGTTGCTACATTGGCGATGTCGGATCGCGTCCGCTGTCAGAAGACATTGTGAGCCGCTTGTGACGCTAATATTACATCTTTGGATGTGAGTCAAAGAGAAGAAGACCGTTGTATTATGCATAAGCGGTTTGTCACTGTCCGCTGTCTTTGGCTTTTGTTGGATAATAATTCGCAGCTGCTTAGTCGTTCGCCAAGACCGTCTGCGGACACACGATAAGATTGACAAGGGCAAGAATCTCTATGAAGTCTCGAAACTCAGGAAAGGACCTGTTGATTTAATATAAAACAAGAACCATTGTATTATGACCACTAGTAAATAGTTTGGTTATCTACGGTGCATTGCAGGCTTCCAATCCGTCATGGATTTGAAACCTGAGATGAGGAAGACAAGACATTTCGTGGAATAGTATCAATAATTGGGCGACTCGAGCACTTGTCACTGCTGCGATGGAAGAGGCTACCAACAGACGTTTTAAAAGTGCCATCAAAGAAGATCCAAGGCTAGGAGACTCATGTGTCAATACTTAGATGTCATGGCTAGTGCCATAGACACCAACAAGGCCGCTGGACGTGAAAGATGTCAAAAGTCCCGACGCCCGTACAATGACCGAGCAGCCACGTCTCAATGTCACACATGAGCTGATTTCTGACCTTTAACGTGTCGTCGAAAAATACGCACATATTGGGAATGAAGTTTCGAGTGATTGTGACAGCCTTCATACGCCACCATGATAAGATGCTTCTCCTGAGGAATGTTCACCGTGGGCATCTTCACAGAATTCGAAAAGGGGTCATAGAGTTGTTCCAGTGTAATACGACTTTAGCGCACGAGAGGTGGTCATGTTTGCTTTTACGGGGAACGCTGAGCGAGAACCACGCGTGGGAGCAGAATCAGTGGCTTGTAACTGAGACATGAACTGGTAGTTGCATGAGCTGAAGACAGGGGTACTTCACGAAAGCTGGCTCGGAAAACCCGAACTGAGGTTGTTTGCCTGTCGTGAACCGTGTCGCCGCACTGGTAACTCTCAGTTTGCCAGAAGGAGAGACAAGCCCACATTCCTGAGATCTATCGACAACATTCGGAAAATCCGGTCCAAAAAGAAAGATCGCTAGATGCTATGCTATGTTACCCGCCAGCCCGGAACCAAGGCATTGCTCCCAAGACCATCACGCGCTAGTCTCAATGATTGCCGCAACACAGCGAATCATACCCGGCCTGCATTTCTTTTTCGTAGTCTGTGCAATCATCAACACTGTCACCGCCAATGAAGCCCCGACAGCCTGACTTGGGCACCTTTCGAGTGGGACGATGTCTCTCCTATCCCTTGATTTGTGGTTGGAATCTTTGAAACTGTCTCGGGGACACACGAACTGACAGGGTAGACACGAAGTAGGGCACGTGTTGTGCAACGGGGCGGCCAGGCGCCACGCGTGCATTCAAATATCTCTCCCTCGCCCACACGTGGCACCTTGTGCTATTAATCTCGAACTCCTCTCCGTCGTACACCGTTGTCGTGCTGCCAAACCGGTCAATCACACCGCCAAGACATCGTTTTCTGCCTGGGGAATCATCATTCATTATCGCCTCCGCACAAAATGCCATCGAGAAACCGACCTGACGATGTGGACTACTCATCGCTCGAGAGCGGGAAAAGACAGCAGCACTCGATGCTCGAAGTGAAACCAAACCATTCCGAGACCCGGCCTTCTACAATTGATGTGGCTATTCCTATTTCGACAGAAATGAAACCGCGGCGGAGCTGGCGGACATGGTGGCGAAGATATTGGATCTTCGTTCTTGCCATGTCGATTCTCATTGTCGGCGGAATCATAGCAGGGGCTGTTGGGGGGATTACAGCTGCCGAGAAGACGAAGACGGAGGGAGACTGATTCCGAGTCTGGTTCAAGACACAAAGAGTCAAGGCTATTCGTGCAGACATCATCATGCCATGTAAGTGTTTTTGCGCATCGTCTGGCCACTTGTCAAGACTAATCACAATAGCTAGTAGATGCGCTGTCGCTACCACCCACCATGCCAAATCGATTCCATATTCATCAAGCAGTAAATGTCCGCCTTTCCAGCTTCAAGGCCAGCACAGTGGAACACGATGTTAGGAATCCTGGCGGCTGTCATGAAACACCACCCTCATGAGCATAGATGGACTTGGGCTTGCAAGCCCTTTGGATGCATCCACCGTCCGTAACGGGCTGAGTACGGGTCAACATGGCATCGTCTTGATATTGATCAGGAAAGCCAAAGCATGATCTGTCTGCGCCAGCAGAAAATGAAAAGACATGGCTGAAAGAGGCGCCTCGATGGCATGGACGACCTGGTTCCAATTGAGGGGAATCAAAGGAGGCAATTCCAATTCGCGGGTGCAGTTTTGGCTCGTAGTAGTGCAGTGTCTGGTCGCTCAGATCATGATCAACGCAACTTCTAAGCCAAGGATTGGGTAGGCTTTGACAAGTACTTGTACTTGGTTCAGTAGCTCCACATACGCTACGGTCCTTAGCCTTTCTGGTTCAAGTGACGACATTCTCATATCCCCGCAACACTTCACAAATGTCGGTGTTAAACTTCTTACTATGTGAGCTTTAGTCGAGAGTGAGCCACGACTGCGTCATGTGACCCAAGTGAACGTTGCACCGTCGCCAGAGGAAACCAACACTTTACCATCTGCGTTGAACAAGATTCGTCCACCACCTTCCTCCATGGCTGTGACTATGCTGGAGGGAAATGTCCAGACCCCGTCGAACTCAAACTCATCTCCAATCAATGCCATTACCCATCGCGGGCGACGGATGTTTTCCACTTCAAACTTGTAGCGTGGTGAGGTCTCAGGGTTATCCAGGTGGTAGAAGTCCTCAGTTCGCAAAATACCCCAATTGGAGATGAACACCTTGGTACGTGACTAGCGTCAGCTCGCGCAGCATAGGCATACTCCGTACGCCCTGGGCCAGGGAAAGAAGCAGTGGATCAAATGTCCGTCTATCAAAAGTGTAGCGAAAAAAGAATTGTGGGTAGTTGCCGTCCTCCCTCAATCACGAGTGGTCGGGGATGTAATCTGTTGCGTCGGAGTCTTGTGAGTCGAGAGCTGCTAGGCTCTCTTCGCTTGATGGCCTGTCGTTATTTTCCCACGCATTCTCGATGTTGCCCGTAACTAGCCACCTTCCATCCGGGGTGACGGGGATGGTCTCAAAGGATAAACGTTCCAGACGCGGCCCAAAAGAGGTATCCGTTTGAAAAGCCGATGGTGCAACGATCCAGCCGCCCAGAAACGACGCTTCTCGTAGTTTGGGAAGCTTGAGCATATCCCGGATGGCCATGCTCAAATCGTCTCGTCCATCAGAGTTTGTGAGCACGTCGAGGCTGGATCTCTCATCTGTTGGCGCAGCGTCGTAAAGTCGGATTTCGAGAACCTCAAGATTATCGAGAGATGCATCCCGCATTGCATTGGCGAGGGCGCATCGGATTTCTCTCCGCTGAAACATGTGCCGACGAGTTGGCATCTCAAGTTTGAACGTAAGTCGGCGTAGAGTGGGCAAGGATTTGGTCAGGACCGCCAATAAACTGGGGTGCAAGCGGTATTGGCCAGTTTTCACGTGAAGATGAGAGATGACGCAGACCTCTGGTAGCAGTCCCGAAGACAGTAACAAGCTCTCTTCGAGACCAAGATACTTTAAATCGTTGCGAAAAAACCAAATAGGTCCCCCTTCGTGAACATAGTCATCTTCTGAAGGCGGTTGGTAGGACGACTCAATCTTGGTCACGAGCTTGATACCGCTCTCATCGCCAGCATCGGATACGGAATTCCAGACCTGCAGTCTCGTGAATAGATCGAGAAGTGCCTGTGTGATTGCGACACTGTTTGCAGCGGCCTCTTTCCGGCTCTGAAACTTCTTGACACGCTTCTCGCTTACGGGCGGCAGAAGAATCTTGTAATGTAGAACCCTGACTTGGGCGCGGCGCAGAGGGTCGGAGAAGTCTTCGTCGAATTGACGCAATGAGTCACTGTCGCTACTGAGTTGGACGGACTCCGCCGGGGAAGAGGTGGCCATCCTGTGGTCTGCGCGTGGGACCTTCTTGCGTGTTGACTGATGGACGTGTTGTTTTGTGATGAAAGGAATCGAAAGAATATGTAGTTGTGCTCAACAACCCCTCACGCAGACAGCAGGGGGAGCAATCGATGCTTGATGCCTGTCCCGGGCCAAGCGTCCGGAACAGGCTAAATAACTTGCGAGAAGATCCAACAGCGAGCGCCAGGCATCTTTGCAGGATGCAAGCGACATTTGTGGGCAGCAGGAGATGTTCTCGGCGTGTAGTGTTGGTTCTTAAACCAGTAGCAAGAGGTTGTTGGAGGTTGATAAGGGCCAAGATCTCCACACTAAACCCTGTCTTTAATTTCATCTCAACGGGAAAGGCTTGGTGTGTTGCTCGACCATCAATTAGTGGCTGAAAGCATTCACCCGAACGAGAAGAACACAGCGCTCTGTAAATCAGGCATGCCTCCCACTTCGAAATCTCTATGGACATCTCAAACCACGTTCCAATGACAACCGTCCCTCCACTTAAGCCATATCATTCAACAAATAGTTGAGCAGTATCATGTTTCTGAAAACCATGTACCACCGTGGTTGCATATAGTCCCTGAGAATCATGTTTGCGGGCTGTGCCACACTTCGCCAACGTTAGTGCCGTTGAACGCAACCCGATACTTGGCTCACTCTATTTAGGTTCGCCACGAATATCTCTGTATGGAAGTTGGTGTAGAGTAAAAAAGAATAGCGGGGCTAGGTGAGCAACACATCGTGCCGTCCTGCACTTAAAGCCCATCCTGCTACCCAAGTAGAAGACCGAGTTGCAGGCTACAAGGCCTAGGGCTACTCTGGCTTCGTGTCAAGCTTTGAATATTCTGGAAGCGATGATGTTACTTAGTTGAAGCATGGCGGTGTGTAATACCGTTGAAATAGCATGTGAGCGAACAGGGTTCGAGTGAGAATCACTCAGATCACACTGCGCGCAATTAAGGAGTTACCTAGTCAGTTGACCTTTTCACAACAGCAATTAGACAACGGCTAGGTCAATGCGAATATCATAATGGCGTAAACTTTTAGTAAACTACAAAAGAAAAGATCCAATCTCTGTTATGACTGTTTCCGTACATGTGCATATTCATCTCTATGGTTATTTCCTATTCTCCTGTTTCCAAGCCGCTGAACAACACGGCGGATGAATGTTGTTTGAGACGCGGCTTACACAGTCTATACCCAACGCAGAATTAATAGCGCTATCCTGTGCTCATGGTCAAAGATATCACATAAGAGTACCTTGCGCTAGAATCGTCGGCATGACATATGCAAATACCATCACCACCCATTCACAAGGATCCTCGTCAAGTAGTCTTGAAGAATCCATGATACCTTTCAGTTCTCAATTATGTCGAATGAAGTGCGCGAGGATCGTTCATGCTGCAGAACACCTTTCTGCTTCTCCTTAGACGTCATTGAAATATTTGAGGTAGAAGCAATGATTGATGCCGACATCTGGTCTCTGTTGTAGTGCCATGAGTCCATTGAAAGGGGATGGCCAAGTCCGACGCCGTGGCTGTTTTCATCAAGTTTTGCAGGGACATCAGTTGCGGTTGCACTATGTCATCCAACATTCGCACTCGTCACATGACTATCCTGGTATTGCATCACAATCAATCAGTCTTGAGTGAGGTTCGCAGCCACATCGCAGAACCATGGTTCTCCGCGGTCGGTGGGGGTATGTGGATTTCGCTGTTGCGATACTGGGGCCGGAGCACGCCATCGGAACTCGCTCGCCGGCCATTAGCGGTAGATAACATCCGGCGAACAGCATCTCGGGTCGGGTCGCGGGGGCTTAGTCAGGCCCGTTGTAGCTTAAGTTTCAAGTGTACAGACAAAATTTGACTCTTCTCTTGCATCAAATCCAAAACGTCCTGGCAAATCAATTGGGGTTAGAGCTCAGTTCTTTTGAGTTGGTCTTTCGAAATGCAGCTACGGTCGTCAATACTGGCCTCTGCGGCCCTTGTGCTCTCGAGCAGCTTCGCTACTGCGGCTAGCGATGCTCAGACTCCGCTCGTCGGCCCGGACCGGGATCCCATTTCATCATCCTCCCGACCAAACATCGTCTTTGTTCTTACCGATGACCAAGATCTTCACATGAACTCTCTCGAGTACATACCTCTCATTCAAAAGCGCCTCATTGAGCAGGGAACTCTCTATAAGAAGCATTTCTGCACTACTGCTGTCTGCTGCCCATCACGAGCTAGTCTTTGGACCGGCAAGTTGGCTCACAACACCAATGTGACGGATCTCAATCCTCCCTATGGTGAGTTGCCCCATGCACCGATCGGCTGAGCTCAGGCTCTGGCGCGCATGCAACAAAAAGCTCAGGTTGTACCCGTTAGTTTGGCGATGGTTACTGACAGCACTTTACAGGCGGATTCCCGATTTTCGTGAAGAATGGTCACAATGAGAATTACCTGCCGATCTGGCTGCAAGATGTGGGATACAGTACTTTCTACACTGGAAAGATGTTTAACGCTCATACTGTTTGGAACTACGACAGTCCTCACCTGAAGGGTTGGAATGGATCCGTACGTTGACCCAAAACTTGATGCAGACCGCGGATAGCGAATACTGGCCCGTTTCTAACACGATGTAGGATTTCCTCCTTGATCCTAACACCTACGACTACTGGAATGCCACATTCCAACGCAACAAGGACAAGCCAGTCAACCACCTAGGCGAATATTCAACCGACCTCGTTGCTCAGAAGGCATATGACTTTCTCGATGATGCTGTTGAAGCTGGCAAGCCTTTCTTCCTGGCCGTAGCTCCCATCGCCCCACACAGCAACGTGAACTCTAGCGTCCTTCTTCCCGTAAAGGGACCGGACGACGACGTTCCCGTTTCCGACGACAAGTTCAGGACCAGTATTCCAAAGGCTGCCAAGAGACACGAGAAGCTTTTCCCCGACGCCAAGGTGCCGCGTACGGAAAACTTCAACCCGGACAAGCCGTCCGGCGCTGATTGGATTCGTCGCCAGCCTAAGCTGAGTGATGAGAATGTGGAATACAACGATGAGCACTACCGAGGTCGTCTTCGTGCGCTCCAGGCTGTGGACGAGCTTGTTGATGGACTCATCGACAAGCTCGAAAAGCACGGCTTGCTGGACAATACCTACATCTTTTACACAACTGACAACGGATACCACATTAGCCAGCACCGGCTGCAGCCCGGAAAGGAATGTGGTTATGAGACGGACATCAATATTCCGCTGATTATTCGTGGCCCCGGAGTGCCAAAGGGAGGTGTCACGGAAGCCGTCACAGCTCATGTCGATCTCGTACCCACAATCTTGTCACTGGCAGGCGCGCCTCTCCGCGCAGACTTTGACGGAGCTCCCATCCCATTGTCGACGAAGGAGCTTGCAGAGTCTCCCTTGACCCGCGAGCACGTTAACGTTGAGTACTGGGGATGGGCCATCACCGAGAGCAAGTTCGGTTTCAACGGCGATGACACCAAGCGGATCTTCAACAACACCTACAAGGCTTTGCGTGTTGTTGGCGAGGGTTACAATCTCTACTATTCTGTATGGTGCACCAATGAGCACGAGCTCTATGATATGACTGTAAGTTCAACACCTATTCATGTCCTTTGGAAGAAGGCTGACCATACCCTTCGCAGACTGATCCTGGTCAGCTGCATAACCTCTTACACGACGATGAAGCTGCCCTTGCAGCACGTGCCACGGTGCTAGGATACCCTCTCAAGAAGCTCATCCCAAGGCTTGATTCTCTTCTCTTCGTTCTCAAGTCGTGCAAGGGTTCAACATGCTCCCAGCCGTGGAGAGCACTTCACCCCCAGGGTAACGTTGCTAGCCTTCGAGAAGCCTTGTCGCCGAGGTTCGACGAATTTTACATTCAGCAGGCGCGTGTTGAGTTTGATCGTTGTGAACTGGGTCACATTGTTGACGCCGAAGGACCCCAATTTGAACACGAAGGGAACGTCTACTGGCAGGGAACCAAGTGGAGTGATTGGACGTGAAAGATTCGGGCCGATGGTTAGCACATTGGATAACGACACTACACATACATAAAAAGGAGTCCGAGACCTTAGACTGCATTACGGAATGTTTAAAGATAGTTTCCGCATCCATTCCGCCCGCATTCCGCCCTAGCGCCCGTGGTGGAGAAGATCAGACCATGCCAGCGCACTAATCACGTCGCGATGATGCCCACATTCCCCCTGCCACGATGTGTCTTTCCCCTCTTCCCCCGCATGCCATTTGTGTCTGTGGAAACAAGTTTCGCTGAACTAGGCCGGAGTTAAAACCAAATGCTCGTCATGTTGATTCCGTAATAACTGACTCAGGAATCTGATTCGTCATCGGAATGTTGGAAGGTTTACCCGCCTGGCAGATTTAAGCCAGTCCGCGGTCCCCCAAACCCATCGGTAACAGCAACACTCGGCGAAGAAGGAAATCCAGGGAAGCCGAAAAGTGCACAACAACTGCACGCACACATCTCAATCAACTAAGTCAGTATGGATAACTACATTGGTCACTGCAACTGTGGTTCCATCAAGGTGGTGTTGAAGAAGAAGCCGGAGCAAGTCGTTGTTTGCCATTGGTGCGTCAAGCAATATGATCCTGCGCGGAGAAAGTGGAGAGACTGACATCATCCCTCTTCACACAGCTCGAACTGCAAGCGTGCGGGTGGCCGTAAGCTTATTTGACAGCTGATTAATTGCGTCAACTAACATTGACAGCATTTTCCATGAACCTTTTCATTGACGACGGCCAATGGGAAATTGAGGATGAAAAGAAGACTCTGTCAGAGTACCTTGACCACAACACCAATTCCGGGAACACTGTGCACGTGAGTAAGCCTCAATGTGAGAAAGAGTTATCTGCTAATTGAGCTGCCCGTGCAGCGATTCTTTTGCAAGAACTGCGGAAGGTGAGAATTAATTCGCCTGGCTAGATGTTATTGAGGTACTAACCACCTGCGAAGCCCCATCAAAACCACTTCGCCTTCCATCCCGGACAAGGCTCTGATTAAGGCGTCTCTGTTTGATGATATTCCCACCAACAAGAAAGAGGTTTACTCCCAACAGGCATTACATTGGAACTAATAGCATGAAGACGCCAGTTGACATGTTCTAATTTGGCTCGTCAGCTAGAAAATAGGAATCGTGGCATGTCGAATGCACAGTCAAATCCTATCTCCACCGCTATGATATCTACATTGTGAACAGAACGATGCGAACTGCACACTATACCAAACATGGTTCTTGAATATAGAGTTATAATACAAAACGAGCCTTTTCCAGTGGCTGCCTCTATATACCGCCAAAGTTCGCGCCTTCGTTCTCGAATTCTCCCTCGTACAGAGCCTCTGATCGTCTAGTAGTTCTGTTTGACACTATCGCCGAGGGGAATGTTCTATTGAAACCCTTGTACTCGCCCAGGCTGGGTGGCAGATCATGAATCCTCGTACCCCAGTCGCTTTCACGTCGGCCCAATGTCAACACCAACTCCATACCCTCCGTAAAGAAGGTGTGGTTCAGCCAATTCTTCCTGTACGGCTCTCCATTCAAGGTGGCGCTTTGAATGTAGATTCTCCGGTACGTGGGATCGAAATTGACGTTGCGGATCTTGGCTGTCTTGCCTGTCTGGGGGTGCTTGATCTCCACACTCTCAAAGAAGGGCGGGGTGATGAGGTAGACGTCTTGGCCAGGGTTCGGGAAGAGTCCCATCATAGTGAAGGCCACGAAAGAGCCCATAGCTCCGCTGTCATCGTTGCCAGGGAGACCGTCGGGCGCAGTTGAGAAGAAGGATGGGACGTAGAAGTGCGCACGCCTGGCGGAGAGAGCAGGGCGCCCGGCATAGTGGTACTGGAAGACCGTAAGGAACGAAGGCTCGTTGCCGATATAGGTGATGTTCTGATCATGCAAGAAGTCAAGTCTCTTGACGAATGCATCCGGACCACCATATGTGTTGATCAAGGTTGCCTGGTCGTGCGGAACAAAGCTATCAAAGATGGTCAGTCAACTCATGTGGCCAAATCGCATTAATTCAAGATCACTTACAATCCATACTCCCAAGCACTGCTCTCATAAGTTTCAGGCCCGTTGTTCTGCAGAGAACAAGAGCTGGCGCCGTCGAGGTTACTGCAGTTCAGCGGGTTCTGGTATGCCCAGGTCTGGTTCAGGAACTTGGGCTGGAAGAAGCCTCTGAATCCAGTGTCCGTGCCGTTGAAGAACGATGACTTCTGGTCCTGCTTGTACAGGTATCGCCAGTTGTGACTAGAGTCCAGATACTTCTGCTTATCGTCGTCCTTGCCCAGCCCGTACGCCACCTGGGCAATGCTGAAGTCGTTGTAGCTGTACTCCAGCGTTCTAGAAATGCTCCGGGTGAGGGTTCCGAATCCTTTGACATCAAAGTCCTGGACTGGGATGTAGCCGAGTCTGTTCCAGCTGGCCAAGCCACCGCGACCATGGACACTCCAATCATATGGCTCTTCTTCAGCGTCCTTTACCATTGCTTCATAGCCGAGATCCCAGTCAATTCCATCATTGATGCCTTTGACATAGGCATCTGCTAGAACATTGTCTGCGTTTGATCCACCCTGGGTGAGACCCTTGCACAGACTCATCCGGCAGTCTGGCAGCCAACCAACGTGGACATAGGTATCGATCAGGGATCTCACCATCTCAGTCACAGCGGTGGGATCTAAGATGATCAAAAATGGAATCTGTGAGCGGAAGGAGTCCCAAAGGCAGTAGAAGGAATCCCAGTAGGGCTCCCTGCTCCTCCACAGGGGGTTCTCTCCGGTGTAGTTCTGAGGGTTGACCATGGTCCTGTAAATGCCACTGTAGAAGTTTCGCGCAAACTTCTCGTCTACACGGTCGGTAGAAACCTTGATGGGGCTAAGTTTCTTCTTCCAAGCTCTCTTGGCTTCTTTGTACACCCGCTCAACGTTGTAGTCGGGGATCTCAGCCGTTGCATGAGCGCAAGCCCGCTCGGTGCTGTGAAAGCTCGTCGCCACACGGGCGGTGATGGGTTGCTCTGCCGACTTGAATCGAACGAAAGCTCCTCCCGGGATGGGGTACCCATTGATTGATCGAGCAATCGTCATATTCTTCACATCCGCGCTAGCACGGCTGTCGACGAAGACTCCGTTGTCGAGGATTTCGGCACCCTGGAAGTCGGTACAGAAGTGAAGAACGTATGAGCCAACACCGAAGCTAGGATTGAAGCGAGCGGTTCCTGTAATGCGTCCAGACCGGGCATCAACCTTGATCGTGGCATTGTCTTGCCTCGAATCTGAGAGATCGGAAAGGTCTTGAAGAATGAGAGGCTGTCCTTGTTGCGGGAAGGTGAATCTGAACAGTGAAGTGCGATGCGTTGTCGTCATCTCGACCTGAATGCCGTCCTTCAGTGTAATGTTCATCAACCCGGGCTTCGCTTGGACATCTTTCTGGTGGAAGTATCCGTACTTGGCTCTCGACTTCTTGGGGAACGTGCAAAAGTTGATGACGCCGCTGGGACATGTCGTGTAGGCGAACAGCGGGAAGTTTCCCAGAGATGGTGAGCCGCCGGTACCAGAGTCGTGCATGCTAGAGAAGCCGGTGATGGGGTTGCCGTCAAGAGTGAATCCGCCTTGGTTAGAACTGCTGTTTGTATCCGGCGAGGCCTTTGCCATACCGTACGGCAAGGTCGCGCCGACGAAAACATTTCCTCCATTGCGTGAGCCGATGAGCGGGTCGACATATTGTAACGGATCCCAGCCGTCATCGTCGAGAATCTCTGCCGCGTTCTTGTTGAAGTCGACTATGCCGCTCACCCAAGCCTGTGCCTGGTGGGCTGCTCCGGACGCTGCGTGTGATAGAGATGGCAGATGGGTGTTTGGCATAAGCAGCCAGCGAAAGACCGCTGCGAAGCCATGGAAAGACCACAATTCAGCCCACATTGCTGCCGGCCTTCGGTCGCTGAGGGAGAGTTTTGGTGAGGTGAAGTGAAGTCCGATGGAGAGAAGCCGTCTGCACCAGACCTCCTAAAATTTCGTCCGGATCATGGCATGTATGAATAGGATAATGGGTGTCTCTGCGACCACGTGACTAGACGTCAAAGCTAAATTTGGTCTCAAGTTCGAGTAAGGTTTCTCCGAGCTCTCCTCAGGATGTCCTGCAGGGTCATGATGAGGCAATCATTGGGCATCATGGCGCACTGAGAGAACAGTGGATGAATATCTCGCGGCTGGACTACCCCGCAACAACGCGTATCGTAGGAATCACAACCTTTCTTCTATGCTTCTTTCCTACATTTTGATTGATATCTATGATGATTCTATTGACAATCTAGATAGCGTCGTAGGCGGCAATCGTTCGGGAGATTTTCGATCTATCGTCGCATTGATCGAGACATCCCCCGCTTGGACGGAGATCTTAGCACTGTCAGGCCAAGTCTGCAGGAGAAACTCTAACAACGGGTCGAACGGCGTTTCCATCCAAATATCTCATTCGTGAAGCCACCCGTTTCAAATCAGAAACCAAAAGATTTTTTTCTCTGTCGTTTAGACTTCGCTGTCGTTTCCTGTTGTATCTCTCCCACCGCCTCACCGAGTCAGGATACTTTGGTCTGTGGTGGATGGGCTTGGCGTCCGCCACCCCATAGTCCGGATCTGTTACCAAAGCGGAGGGAGGGCGGGCTTTGTTTCCAGCTGCTCCGACAGCGGCAACTTGCATGATTCCGTGCTTCGAGAATGCCATTGTGGAAGTTTGGAAGAAAAGATGAGAATGGACGAACGATGCTGCTGAGTTTGATATTGCATTGCGAAACCGCGTCGGGTGCGACTTCATGATCCGATGTCGAGCGGTTGGCTTGGAGTTGCAGTGGCGCTTGTGATATGCGCGGCTCTGTTGGCCCTATGGACGGAGCGGCGTGTCCGGCCCACGGCAATCGTACTCGGTTCATCGCCACGGCAGATACGCCCGTTGACAGCGGCTGAAAATGTCGGTCCCGAGGTCAGGGATGATAGCTCTTGGCGACGAAGTATGGCAGGGCTGTTGATTCATGTTTGCCAGACAGTTTGTCCGATCTAGTGAACGTTTTGGAACTGTTTCCCCAGAGCGGGTATTCGTTTGTTTGGAAGTTCGGCAGGCGTTTGAGCAGCTGTTAGGTGTGCCTTCCCGGTCCACACCCAGCTGAATCGCTCAGCTGAATGTCAGAAGCATGTCAGCTTCGCCGAGTAAGCCCCGTTTGCACTAGTCAGTTTAGAAACCCGGGTGTGGTATCGGTTCTATTTCCTGTTTCTAGAAGTTGAACAAACAAGCTGGGGAAGATGCCCACCTCCGCAGTGAGGCTATGGCTGTTGCTTTGTAAGTTCCATCGTCTACCAGCCCAGATCCTTGCATTTGCCGCACATGCAACCCTCCTTGGTCTTGGTGTCAAATTCGTCAATCACGCTCCGAGGCTTAACGAAGGTGCCCAAAGGCTCATACTTCAAGTGAGAAAAGCCGAACGACTCGGGACCCCCGATTTCAAGACCCCTAGCAGACCCAGTCCACTTGTCGCTGGCGGCAATTCCCAGCACAATGACGAGCAGTCCATATCTGTACTCGGGCGTTCCGATCGCTTCGCCGTTTTGAGCGTCGATAACGGCGATGAGGTCCGGCACCAGGGCAAGCACATCTTCTTGCTTCTCCTTGCCTGCTTCCTCTGTTGACGTAGCTGAGGCGTTCTTGACTGCGGCGATGTTCTCGTTCTTGAAGGGAATCTTAACAAACCCTTTATACTGCTGGGATCTCTGATGGCCGGGTTCATCTGAACCAGACACATCTGCACCTTCGATTATGCATTCGCCATAGACATGTCCCTTACTTAATACTCTCTCCACGCCAACGATCTTGCCTTTGAACAGAACCTTGGCTCCAGTTGAACCACCGCACTCCTCAATGATCATCTCGGCAACGTTGTCCACGCGGTTGAGCTTCCTGGCCTTAGCCACAGCGCGACCAATCCTCCAAGACTGAGAGAGTGTATGCTCAACTACCCATCTCTTGGTCTCTGCCCCAGTCACGGGAGGGTCGGCAACAGCAACCTGTGAGCCCATCTCTGCTAAGGCAGCCCTCATGACACGTTCAACCTGCTTGTCTGAAGATGCGCGCGACATAGTGACAATCGCTCCATTACCGTCACTCATCGTGACTGGCGTCCAGATGGGGCTTCGCTCGTTGAAGACAACCGGTGTTGTTTGCCATTTTGTCGGGTACGCCCTGCCCATCCAGTCGCCATCGACTGCAGGAACATCCATGTTGGTGCTGGAGCCAATCATCATGCTCTGCAGGCCATTGGCGCCCCCAATTTCAACCGCAATCATGTGCGTCGGCGGCTTTCCGATGTGCTTGCACATCTCTGTCTGTGCCTCTTGCATCTCGTCCGCGGACTTCTTCTCAATAGCCACGGTGGGTGACCCGGCGTAACCCCCGCAGCCGACGACCGCCTCATCGGGAATATCAGCAGGGTTTACGACCCTCACAACGGCACCCTTGCGGAGCTTCTCGCGCAGGATGATCTGTTGCGAGTAAGGAGACCCGCCTCCTCCCGTTCCGAGGATGTAACATCCGATACTGATCCAGTCCAGATCTGTTTCGCTGATGTACCAGACGCGATCTTCAACTCTTGGCTTATATTTCAAAACATCAACGTCTTTCTTGTCCCTGACTCTAGACGTCTTCTTGGCACGAGAATATGTGGTGTAATCCTGAGGCGTGTCATCTTCATCGCTAAATGGTATGGAGGCCAGATCCGTCCTGGAAAAGTCAAAGTCGCCGGCAGCGCGCACAATGAATCGCGACTTGTTGGCAATGTACTGTGATTGTTAGTCAAGACTTCTCCTACTGTGGACTTGGTATACTCACGGCCAAGGGTATTGTGTCCACGTCCACAATCTGGACCGACGATGGGACTGCCCCTGCGGCAACAGCCTTCTCTTTGACCTCTTGCTCCACCTCACTCAATATCTCCTGGCTTGTTCTGGACTCAGTCGATTTGACAGTGTCAATGGTAGCACTGACGCGTGCAATAGCCGCACCGATGGCGTTGGCGACTCCAGCCCACTCGGGTTTCAAGACTTTGCTAGCCCCACGAAGCTCATTCGGCGCGATGACAGCACCACCACCCACAAGAAGAACCGGAATATCGTTGGGCGAAGTTTTCATCGTGTCGATAACCTTCTCGATCTTGCTTTGGACGATCTTAGTGAATTGAGATAGTTCTTCGGCGTCAACTGCGCCCTTGACCAAGCTCGCATCGCCGATAGACAGCGCTGATGGCTTCCCTCCGTTAGCTAACACGGTGCAGTCCGTCGCAGTGAGAGTAGAACCACCAAAGACTAGAGCTTCAGTCTTGATCTTATAGCCGACACTGTCGGGGCCTACGGTCAATCTCTCCCGGCCCTTGCGAACAATGGAACCACCTCCCAGTCCTATACTCTTGACATCTGGGCATGAGAAGTTCAGGCGAACACCTGTAAACTCGCTAAAGGCTGCCTGTTGCCTTGGAAACCCGTTTGCCTGCAAGAGACCAACATCGGTAGTTGTGCCCCCGATATCAACCACCATGACGGCTTCATCAAGCTGATCCTGCACTAGGAATGCAGCTCCGCGCATGCTGTTTGTTGGGCCGCTGGAAAAAGTCCGGATCGGAAGATTCGCAGCCATCTCCCCTGAAAGAATAGTTCCGTCGTTCTGGGAGATGAAGACAGGGCAGTGTAGACCAAGTCTCTTAATGGGTTCCTGGAAGGATCGAATCGTCTTGCGGGCGAAGTCCAGTACTGTAGCGTTGAGTATGGCAGCATTCTCACGCTCCTGGAACCCGAGATTGGCCACGTCTTTTGAGCATGTAACGGTGCAGCCAGGTAGCTCTGAGCGTATGATTTCGGCAGCCCTCTCCTCTTGCCTCTCTGTCGTGTCGATTGGGCTGAAGATGCCGTTGACGACAACGGTTTTGATCCCCTTCTCACCGATGATCGAGCATTGAGCCTTGATCTCTTCAGGATCGATATCAGAAATAAGAACGCCATCAACCTCCAGGCCACCTTTGCACAAAGCATAATGACCCAAAATCAACTCCCTGAGATCTTCAGGCCAGTCCAAACAAGGAGGGTCGTGCTTGGAAAACTGGCTGGTCAACCTGATGACGGCCACGGGAGCCAATCTGGTCTCATCCCTCTCAATCAGGGCATTAACAAAGTGAGTGGTGCCGATGGTGACGCTCGCGATCTCGCTCGGCTCGATCTTGGAAGACTCGAACATCGTCACGATCGCATTGTTGATGCCATCGCTGGGGTTTGTCGTTGTTGGTGACTTGTGCCATGCGACAATGCCCTTATCTGGCTCCGAAGCCCGCGAAGGGTCCAGAACGACACCATCTGTGTTCGTTCCGCCGACATCAACACCGATGCGAAGGTGGCGTGATGTGGACGCCATAATAGTCGTTTTTTCCAGTGTCTGGTTTCAACGAATGATATTGGGTTATAGCGAGGTCGATAATTCCAAAATGCCGGAGAGCCAGGCTGTCGCAAAGTGTCCTGAGTGATGCGCCTAAAATGTGGTACGATGCTGACTGCGCGCAAATCGCGTCGGGGAGGGGCGGAAAGTGGGATGTGGGGCAACAAGGGCAAGCCGTCTCGGTCTCCGAGACGCGGCGCCGGGACGGAGACCGGGCTCGGAACGGCCCGCCAGAGTCGGCCTCTGCCGTCCGCATCAAGTCTTTCACTGGACTTCCTCGCAGCGTACTCTGTGGGAAAGCATCTCCGGGATTCGGTGTGCACATCACCAATTTTTTATGAGCCTGTAGGAATAGTGTTGCAATCCGCCGGCATTACTGGAGGTGCTTGGCATTTGATTCACCTTGCAAGCGTGGACCCAATACGGGTACGCAAGCGCAGTCAAGTCCTCCTCCGCCGTTGCTTCGCTCCGGAACCTATTTTAGTTCCCTCGAAGACTCATCTTGATTGGCAATGGATTGCGGCCGATATTTAAATGGCAATGATCCTGGTGCCTGATGGAGATTGGTTCTGACCTCTACACAATCGATAAGATCCGTCCGAATTTGAGGTCTGAATTTGGGCGGCGAAGTTTGACAAAATGAGTAGGTTCAAATATCCAAAGATTGATGCTGGTTACTGCGGGATCGACGCGGTCCTCATGCATTTGTCCATGATTTGTTCCAATGCTTGACCTCCATTAACTTGCAACTTCACGTAAATTCCACATGGCTGCGCTGGTAGGGTCGCGTGTTTTTCTCATAAGCTGACATTCCAGTCTCAGTCCGGATTCAATGTTGGCGGGATGAGACAGAGCTGACCCGGGCCGGCGACTTGAGACAGACACGCCTAGCAAGTGCGGTACTTGAAAGGTAGCCGTGGCAATCTTGTCCAGAGACGGCCCTCATATCGGCCTCGGCCCATTTAGAGCCCGGCGGGGGGATCTTCGGCACTTTGGGATATGTAACATTTATCCCCGAGCATGCGGTGATATGAAGATGCAAATGCACTGTCGTTTGAGTTTTCATTCGGCTTATGAGATCGCACTGTATGTGCCATTTGATTTGCCACGCTTATGTTCTTCGCCGACGGCTCTCACCTGAGACTAGCTCCTTCTAAGAGGAATGCTACGGGGAGGTATCAGGACAGAGTCACTATGGCATCTGACATTGCATCCAACAAGTGCCGCTGAAGATACATTCGGATCGCGCCGAGCCAGCTTGATGCTAGCGGCGATAGCTTCGTCTCAAGGTCCCCAGATTTCACAATGATGGGATTGGGCTTTAAATTGATGCGAGATAGGAAGTTTACTAAGCCTAAGTCACGGACGTCGCAGACTCTTTTATGATATAGACTATTCCCAGCAATTGAAGACTTTTTCGAGGCAAAAGGGGCACCGGAAAGAGCGGAGAAACAACAAATTATCACACGCAACTAAGCGCAATCACTTCTATTTCATGGGAGGAGATTCAACAAGAGGGCATATACTACGTCGGGGAACAGGTCTATATGGACGATGGACGCCGAGAACTAGATTAAGCATGGCGGATCATCCTTCAGGCAATGGGATACGAAAGTTGCCCAATTGCCCGCGATGCCTCCTGTGTTTTGCATTCTTGTGTGTGTGAGACTTGGCGAGGAATAGTGGAATGTGTTTTCCGATGGTCTCTCGTGAACGGCATATCAGTCAATTGTGACGACGGCTCAGCTCATGTGGCTTGAGACACGCGCGGCTTTTCTGCACCTTGGATCCGTTTACATGTGATCTTCAAGTCTTCAGTTATAATTCGAATCCCGCCCTTCTCTCACTCGGCTAGGGGGCTTGGCCGCAAAGGGATCTTTTCAATATTCAACATTTTCTGGAATCCTGACGAGATCCATCATCAAGCCCTCCTGCAAGCCGCCGGACGCGTTTGCCGATGGAGGAACTGCTGTGACAGCTTGCGCTCATAGCTCGGATGCCAGAGAATTTCATCGGAAGCGAATCGTCATCTGCTGTGACGGGACTTGGAATGACTCGTATGACTGCTTCCACCTCGCGTCATGACACCCAGACTTGGATTGAATTGTCGCTGATCACCTTCTGAAGCAACACCGAAGGGGGAATCCAGACCAATGTTGGACGTCTCGCAACCGTAGTTGCTCATAAGTGTTGCAATGGCATGCCCCAAGTGGTCTATTATCACAGGGGAGCAGGGACAGAACAGTCCCTCACCGCAAGAGCTCTCGGTGGGCTTTTCGGACAAGGCGTAGTGGCAGTGAGTTGAGAATCACATTTGGGATCTAGCTTTATGTATTGATCATGTTCCAGGATATTGCAGATGTTTACCGTTTCGTCTGCGAGAACTACAACTACGGAGATGAGCTCATCTTCACTGGATTTTCCCGTGGCGCCTTTACGGCCCGATCTGTCGCTAACATGGTTTGTACGTTGGGATTGCTCAACAGCTTCGGGCTGGACAATTTTGCGGCCATTTTCAAGGACTATCAGAACTTTTCGAACTGGCTTTCAAGTGGTAAGAAAAATGACAGGACAGGGGAATGGAAGTTCACCACCACGTTTGACCGAAGTCAGCATCTGTTGTGCTTTAACCTCGAAAATTCGCATCGCCTTTACAGGATGGACGAATATTCCAGTGCCAACCCTGACTGGATAGAGGACAGGAAGACATCAGAACAGGATATCGACTTATTGCGGCAGAGGTGGTTCAAAGAACTTCTCCTTGCAGGTGCCAGGTATGGCCTTCAAGGGATGGCTGACTTCTACGCAACGTTGTTGTTTCGCGTATGTCATTCCCCCCTGCATTGACTAACAGACACATGCTAACCTGTTTCTTCCCTCAGTACAAGATGATTGTTTGCGAAGAGAAAGACTATAGGAATGGTTCAATACTTGGGGAAATTTTGAAAAGCATTAATGATCCTTGGGTGCCTGGGGAAATCGAGGTTAAGGCTGTTGGTGAGTACATGATGTGCTCCGCGTTGCACAGGCCAGAGCTAACATGGTCCGCCAATGCAGGAGTTTGGGACACAGTTGGAAGTCTTGGAATGCCATACAGCCTCTCGAAGATGGGCCGTAGCGAAGACGAGGTTCGTGCAATCCTCGTTATACTTGCGGGCTGCAAGCCCTTTTCACCACTGTGATTAGTACGTCGAAACTGACGGAGCCGATAGATTCGATTTGGGAGCCAAGATGTCCACGAACGCATTCAACATGCGTTCCACGCATTGGCTTTGGACGAGTACCGAAAGCCGTTCAAGCCGACTTTGTGGAGTAGGGATATCAGCAACAAAAACACGCACCTTCGCCAAGTCTGGTTTCGCGGTAGCCATAGCGATGTGGGCGGAGGACTAGCGAATCAGCAAATGGCCACGATCGCTTTTGCTTGTAAGACGATACAAGAACAGCACATCTTTGTGCATAGCTGACATAAGTGCCATAGGGATGGCCGACCAATTGAGCTCCGTAGGGGTTGAGTTTAATCCTGAGGAAATGACAAGAATCTTCCGCACAGTCGATCTTGAAGTCGAGCCTCGCTCTTGGGCGCTTGGACACATCAGCTCAGCCGAATTTTGGACTAAGCTCGCTGACAAGACAGTCGGGAAGCTTGTACACTTTGGCGAAGCTGCGCATCGAGAGCCCGGCTTATGTACAGAGGACAACAATCCACTGAAAAGCCGGCTCAAGAACACCAACGAATTAGTCCACCCATCGGTTCGAGTGCGTTACCTTTATAAAGGCCTTGGCCTAGACGACAAAGGTGAATGGAAGTGCGACGCTCTTTCGTCAAGCCATTACATTCTTGAAAAGTCAGAAGCGTCTCGCGATGATTGGGTTAGGAGGCCGGACCAGTCGTACCTTTCCACCCATCGAACCCTGAGTGGAAACGTTTCCTCCATTCACAGTGGGACTAACATTAACTTCGTGAATAATGTGGACAATGCACGACCTCACTCTGTCGTAGCAAAACAACTGCCTTTCGAGAGCGATCTTCACATGAGCGATATGAATATAGGCACATGGCGCTCGGATATGCCTTACTGTGGTCTGCCGAACGATGAAGGGTGGCAGTCTCGGCAGGTAGGAGAAGACCAGGTAACACGAGACGGAGAGCTGATGAACGACGGCAATGTTAGAAGCCGTAAAAAGGGAGACAACATACCGCAAAATGACCAACAGCGACCTGTGGAAAATCCGGCGGACAGATGGGCCTGGGTCAGATCACCGCCGAAATCGAAAGGTGCGCCATCTGACGTACGAATCGTACTCCATGAGGAGCGAATCGGCCTCTGGGAGCGTCAGTACATGAGGGTCAATCAGGAGAATATGCTTAGGGAAGACCAGTGGAAGCGGAAACGAAACCCCGGTAGCGGGCCTCTGGACAGTCTCGCCGCAACCGCTTCGGGCCTAATCAGTTGTGCCGTACAGGCTGGGAAGAAGACATTTGAAGCGGGCTATAAAGCCGCAGAAACGGTCGTCACACTTCCTCCGAAGCTTTACACGACTTCGGTAGGACGTTTGTCGCTTGCTGTGAGCTCAACTACAAGCATGATTATGTGGGGGGCTGTGAAACCAAAGGAGGATGTCATGAGAACGTTGAAGGGGCCGCCTGCAAACGTCGATCCGGGCAAATACGTGTGGGAAGACATTGTCGCATGGCAGCATGGAGACCTCAGAGTACGCCGCTGATAATGGAGGTCAGGATCAAAATGCTTGACGGATGGAGGAAATCGTGATTTAGCTCGTCTTCCAATTGCGTTTACCCCCCAGATTGGCTTCAATTGAAATTTATGGGGTCCTCTATGTCTGCAGTACTTAAGAAGCACTTGAATTTCAGTCCTCCCGTGCGCCGGCGTCTTCTGCATAGCAATTTTTGGTTTTTTTGCGAAAAGCCTACAGGCCTACAACAAGTGGCGGGGATATGATCAAATCTGCTCAACGCAGTCGTTGTTGAATTGATACTGGGTTCCGATAGCGTGGGCAACAAGGCCTGCCTAAAACAGCCACGGGACATGCACAAGAGAAGATGACTGATTCCCGTGACGCAGAGCTCTCCCATCTTAACCAAAAATCCAGGATAATCAGCATATCCTGCATCAGATGTAGAAGTTTGAATAATCCCCAGGCGAAGGGAGATTGTTCATGTTGTTCATGACAAGTCATCCGTCGGCAATTCAATCTCGGAGCCATCCAACAATCCGTCAGTCCTCCCAATGGCCCCGCGCAATCCGTAGGAATGAACACACACTTGAAATGTCGTTGCACGGGCCCATCAAGTCGGCACCATGCCGACGGGTTCATCAGACCGCTAGATCCCGAAGTAGTATCGCTGAAACCTACCCTGCAGTCCTCAGAGCTTCCAGATGCGACCGCCCAGCCAATACGAGACCGAGGAATACTAATATCCCCATACCAAGAGACGAAAATGCGATGCCAGCCGCGGCGGGAAGGACATGGAGGGTGTGTCCGCTCTGGGGTCTAAGCCCAGCGTCACATGGGGTTTCAGGGCGGCGGCCGACAGTCGAAGCAGTATCAGTCAGCTCCTTCTTAGCTGTCGGCAACCATGTGCGGGACGTGGTTTGCTGGCTCTGCCATTTTGCCCACTTGGGTGATGGGATGACGGTTGAAAATTGCATCCGTGCTTGATAATCTTGGATCTTCTTGGCTCCCCTGTCCCATATTTAGCTCGTTCGTTGGTGTTGGGCGAGCCGGCCGCGGCGTAGGGGCCCCATGGTGCCGCTGCAGGCAAACGAGTCGGCCACTCCTGTATGCGGGGAATCCTGGGGTGGGATCTGTCGATTGTGGACTGCGGCCCGGCCACGGGGCCTCGGCCGAGGAACTTTAATATGGTACGGCCAAGGAGGTGCGTCTCGGTAGTTGTGAGAATTGCCATGCGCCCGAGGGGGAATCTGATGACCCTTGGATGACTTTGTCGAGATGAGGTCGTCTGATGATTCTGATGATTCGCGTATAAGACTGAGATCCCCGGGCGGAATGTTCTTGAAAGTTTCGGGACCATGCTTCGAGAACACCACATCGGGTTCACTTGGAGCTTTTCAGCATCGACGCTCTCCGGTTGTATAATTCGCAATGGCTCCCAGCCGCATCGACGACTCTCCCGAGAGTCATCCGTCTTTGGATACGGCCTACGGGCTAACCGCATCATGGCCTATAGCTTACGATTTAGCTGGCTCAAACCTGCCATGTCGTCTTGAGGGAGAAATTGGCGATCTCGTGGTGTTGGGAGAGATCCCAAAGCAAATCGACGGCACGTTCTACCGGGTCATGACTGATCCATTCGTCCCTCCGCACCCTGGCAACGTCCCTCTCGACGGCGATGGCAATATCTCAGCATTCCGCATCCGTGACGGCAGGGTGGACATGAAGATGCGCTACGTCGAAACGGAGCGCTACAAGCTAGAGCGGAAAGCCAACAAGGCTCTGTTCGGCCTCTATCGCAACCCGTACACGCACCACCCCTGCGTGCGCGCGGCCGTGGACTCGACGGCCAACACCAACCTCGTGTTGTGGGCAAACCACTTTCTCGCGCTGAAAGAGGGCGGTCTGCCCTACTCCGTCGACCCTCATACACTGGATACCATCAAGTATGATCCGTTTGGGCCGCAGGTCAAGACGAAGACCTTCACGGCGCACCCCAAGGTGGATCCATACACCGACGAACTAGTTGTTTACGGCTACGAGGCCAAGGGCCTCGCGTCTCTTGATATCGTCATCTACTCTCTTGATAGCCAAGGGGTCAAGCATGACGAGCAGTGGATCAAGTCACCATGGTGCGCGCCAATTCACGACTGCGCTATCACACCTAACTGGATCATCCTGGTCCTCTGGTGCTTCGACGCAAGCGTAGAGCGCATGAAGAAGGGAGGGCACCACTGGGCCTGGGACTACGACAAGCCGGCGACCTTCATCGTTGCCCCGCGCCGGAGCACCACGCCGCTCCCGCCCGGCTGGAGCCCCGGAGAGTACAGAGTGTACCCGTGGAAGAACTGCATGCTCATCCACACGGGCGGTGCATGGGAGAGTGAAGACGGGTCCAAGGTCTTCCTGGAGACATCGCGCGTGCACGACAACGGCTTCCCCTTCTTCCCAACCGACGACGGCAGACTGCCAGCCCCCGACGCAGCATCCGACTACGTCCGCTGGACGTTGGATCTCTCGCAGCCGAGAAATACCCAGGTCGCGGACCCGGAGATGGTTCTAGATCTTCCAGCCGAGTTCCCCCGCCTCGACGAGAGGTTTCTGTCCAAGCAGTATAAGCACGTCTTCATCAACGTCCACATCAGCAAGGATGAGAACGGCAAGCCGCAGACGGTACATAACGGGCTGAACGGCTTGGCGATGCTGAACTTGGAGACCAAGCAGACGAAGTACTTTTACGCCGGGTTCGAGTCTCACATCCAAGAGCCCATCTTCATTCCGCGGAGTGACGATGCCCCCGAAGGAGACGGGTGGGTGATGGCAATGGTGGAGCGGAGGGGCGCGAACAGGAACGAGATTGTGGTACTAGATACGAGAGACTTCGAGAAGCCTATTGCTCTCATTCAGCTGCCTTTCCATGTGAAGTCTCAGGTCCATGGAAACTGGGTCGATCAGAGACGGTTGAAGGGCTGGAAGAAGCTGGCGAAGGATGTTGAGGTTGAGCCCATTAGTGGACAGGGAGCATTGGAGCCTCTGTAGGGCGAGAGATTGAGAGGAAGATTACCATGGTGCCTTGTGTGTAGGAGAAAACCAGCATTTACTAGCCGTAAGCATTACATATTGTCCCTAACCGTATCATATCACAACTTGGGGGAGTGAGTGTGCTAACTATTTCAGCTCAGACTATTACAATAAATTCGCTGTCAGGAAGACATATCATATCGCGTTGACGTGACGTGACAACACACAACATCACTTATCCCCTCACCTCAGACATTGTCGGCTTTAACACCAACTGGAGGAATAGACCAGGAAAACACTGGCCGGTGCGGGAGTTGATACAACGAAGCATGTTTGGGGGGTATCGCTTTGTATTCAAACACCACGCTAAGCATAGTTGACATCCAGTCTCACGTACGAAGCATCAATAGCCCAGTCAGCTGGTTGCAAAAGAGGTGCATTAAGATCTCTGTACCCAGCAGACATGGACCACTTCCCTCCGCACCCATTCCATCCACAACCGACATCCCCTCTCCTCCACACACATCCATCGCACTCCTTCTTCAACCAGCAACACCCTCGCTTACGGCATCGCAACCCAGCTTCCGGCAGCGAGCACGATACTGGCACACACGATCGCGATGACGGGGCCGGTCGTGAGCGGGTCCGGGACGGGGATGTTGGACAGCTGCAGGACGGTGCGCTGGGTGAAGTTGCGCTCGGCCTCGACAAGGGCGAGGGCGGTCAGGTTGCCGCAGGCGGTATTGAGGGCCTGGTCCATGATGACGGTGGGCAGCTTCGCGATGGCGGTGTCGAGGACCTCGGCGTTGTACTGGTTGCCGTTGGGCGAGGCCGCGAAGAAGGTGGCGCGGTACGTGCTGTTGGCGCCGACGGTGGAGAGGTTGGCGATGCGCGAGTACTCGGCGCACGACATGATGGTCGAGGGCGGGTTCGCGGCGACGGGCGCGGCCTGGCGGACGACGACGGCGAGGCCGGGAGCCTGGTTCGGGTTGGCGATGGCGTTGGCGAGGGCGGTGGCCGCCAGGAGGAGCTGGGCGAGGAAGTAGGCGTGCATCTTGACTGAGTTTTCTTTCTTGTCTTCCTTCTGTGGTTGTCTCGAGGAGCTCGTCGGGTGGGATATATTACGTCGGAGTAGGTACTAGATGGGACGATGTCGTAACGAGAGGACTGCCACTGAACAATGCACCCCAAAGCTTAAAAGTGGCCGGCCACTGGAGAATGAAAATGAATGGAACAAGAAAGAAAGAATAACACACGACAAAAAAGGTTAAACGGAAAGGAAGGTTGTGTCAATCAGAATGGAGGGAGAGAGCAGCGGGCAGCAGACAGCACGCAGACGGGGCGCCAGGAACGGCTGCGTCATTATATGTGCCATGATTGGAGTTCCTGGTTGTCAGTGCAAGGGGTTGAAGCGTCTGAGACGAGATGACACATTTGGGACCTCAGATCAGACGGTCTGGTGTCTTGGGTGAAGCCACACCAGCGAGAGCTAGACGCCATCTGACGGGACGATCTAGCTGGCTAGCTTCGTTCTGCTGAAGATTATTGCTGTCCCAAAGAGGAAGACTCATCTCTTGATTCTAAAAGTTGGAGTCGAAGCCGCAGAATTGAGTCGAAATAAACTCGCATCATCGGTGACAACGCCATGCAACTGCAGGAAAATAGGGGCACGAAACCTGGGCAACACTGCAGCAAATGCCGTCTGACCGATTTTACCGCTGCACAGACCAATCATCGCCTGGATTGAAATGTGGTCCGGCTGTGGCCCCCTCCTGTTTGATCCTCCTCTGGCTCGACGGTCGTTGTTTTTGGTCGCCACTAGCATGACGAGCCCACGGGATCGAACCAGTCGGGCCAAATGTCAGGCTGTGAAGAACCGTAATCATCAAAGCTTTTTCTGTTTACCAAGTGCTCCTGTCATGCTTTCTGAATCAGTTGAGGCGGTGACAGCCCGCGACTCCTGTGAACCAAAGAGTCTTAAGACAACCAAGACACAAGCCTGGCACATGACCGGGGTGGCTAGGGCCACAGCTAATCGGGCGCCATCAAGCTCTGGCGTCGCGGGAGTGGGAAGCCTTTTTAAATTATTATTCTGTTCGTTATTCATTCGTATGGCCAGTGATTGGCGGTGGTGGTATCTTGCTGCTGTATGTACGGATATTGCGGAAAATGACTGCGGCGCGAATCTCGGAACCTCGGCGCCTACCGTGAATCACGCCCTCCTCCCTCCTCTCTCATCATCACATCACGTCTCCCCTCCTCCCTGTGTCAGCCCAGCCTGCATCGCAGCGTCAACCGCCCTCGCCGCCCTCCTCTTCCCTCCATCCTTGGGCACCGGCTTCTGCATCTTTGCCGCCCCCAGCCCGCCCAGACTCAGCGGCGCGACCTCGATCGGGGGCACGCCGCACTTGATCGCCATGCTCTTGAAGAACCCGCCGACCGGCCGCAGCTCGTCCTGGAAGACGGCCACGTTCGTGAAGCCCTCGCACTTGTACCCGCGGAACAGCTGCGCCTCGCACCCGTCCGCCTTGTTCGCCATGAAGACGCCGCACTGCGCGGTGCCCGGCAGGTCGTAGCACTGCCCGTTGCGCTCCGTGAACTGCGCCATCTTAGACGCCGTCTTGGGCAGCTCCATGTCGACCAGCTGCGCGCCGCTGCGGCACGTCTTGACGCCCGGCGAGCTGCCGTAGAGCTGCACTGTGATCGGGATGGGCGGCTTGTTGTCTTGTGGTGGCGCGCCCGGGGCAGTCGTGTTTGGCTGTGTGATGTCGACCTGGCCGGCTGTCGCGATGGGTTTCGGGGGCGACGGCGGAGACGGCGGTGGATCTTCGCGGTCCATGATTCGAGGTTGAGGCATCGCGAGGGCTGAGGAGGCGAGCCAGGCGGCCACGTAGGCGGCTCTGAGGATCGTGTGTGATGCTATTCGCATATTTGATGATGGAGTATTTTTGACAATCTCGAATTTCGATGTTTTGCAGAGACTAAACAGAGCCGTCAACTATTGTCAACGCCAACTCGAACTTTTCCCGCTTTGATGGCGGCGGCGGCGTGTCATGGGATGAAGAGACGGGAACGCCAAGCTGCATCAGCCGTGTTTCAGGGCGACTCCGTAAGTGAGATGCACGGATACTCTCTTGAAACACCCCGAAAAGAGCCTCACAAGATCAACTAAAACTGAATATAGACAAGAGAATTGGATGAATGATTGAATTAGAAGAGGTAATAATACTGTGGTATTATCCGGTCTCAGCCGTTGAGGCCGGCATATGCAGCAATCGACAACAGCAACAGCAACAACATCAACATGACTCTGGTATCTGCGTCTAAAAGAATCCAACCGATGTTTCCCACGAAACATAACCAATGGCGCCCGCACGCGCTCATCACCGACTCGTGCATCATGAATCGTCTTCAACTCTAACCTTCTAACCGCTCTTCAGCACAGAGTTCGCCGGCGACACCTCGCTCTTCTGCTCCGCGTTCGAGATAGCGCTCTCCACCGCCGCAGCCACATCAATGTGGAAGAACGGCCTGTTCATGCCCTGCAGCGCCGCCAGCTTGCCGTCCCCGCGCCCAGCCACCGGCGCGACGCCGTCATTGACATTCTTGCTGCTCGGCGAGATCGTGTCCTCCTCGTCGCGGCTGCGCTGCGACGTGACGCGCGGCGCCTGGTTGGAAGCCGAGTCCACCGGCGCGAAGCTGAAGATGGGCTTCCATCGGTTGAGCGTCTCGTCCTTGACGGACGGGTAGCCGAAGCCGGCCGCCGCGAGAGCGCGACGCGTCCAGCGGTTGTTGACGTTGGCAAAGTGCCACTCGACGACCTCGGGCTCCGCGTAGTGGTCCAGCTGGTTGCGCACGTCGACGAGGCTCTGCACCGAGGTGACGTCCATGTTGTTGACGGCGGAGCAGTCGAGGACGATGGCGCGGAGGATGGGGCGGGTGTCTTCCATGTCGATCTTGGCTCCGCGGCGGGGGCCGGGGTCGTTCCAGGGACGGTCCTACGACATATTAGCTGTCTGCTTGAAGGGAGAATTTTCCACGGAGATGGGAACTTACGCCGAGCTTCTCGTAGCGGTCGAGGATCGTACGGCGAGAGTGCTTCATGATGAACTCGGTGAGGCCATCCATGTAGTGGGCCGCGTTGGTGTAGTTGAAGCCCTCGCCGAAGCGGTACACAAAGACGCCGGGGAAGGGAGTCTCCACGTCGACGATGGGGTTTGACGCGTCGTCCTTCAAGAGAGGGACGTAGGCCTCGCGGGAAGGCAGGTCGATGGCCTCGCCGCGATCGTTGAAGGGCACACCCTTGCCTGCAGTGTCCTTGCTCGCGCGGTAGACCCTGACGCGGCCGAGGAAGCGGCCCTTGGCCTTGGCCAGGCGGACCAGCAACAGCGCCGCGGAAGCGCACATGGTGAGGTAGATTCCCTTTTCGATATCGGTGAAGATGGTGAGGATGACACCGCCGAAGAAGATGAAGACTTCAAGGGGCGAGACCTCCCAGAACTGGTAGACCACCTTGGGCGGCGTGATGAGATCGCCGACGGCGTGAATAATGAGACCTGCGAGACTGGCCATGGGGATGTAGAAGAACACCGAGGTGAGAGCATACAGCGCTAGAAGGACAATAACGGCGGTAAAGATACCGGCTAGAGGCGTGCGGACACCGGCCTTCGACTTGATGGCCGTTCGGGAGAAGGATCCCGTGGCAGGGTACGCGCCCAAAAAGGGTCCGAATAGGTTCGTGAAGCCCACGGCCACCAATTCTTGCGACGGGTTGATGACATAGTTGTTGATTCGTCCAAAGGACTTGGAAATGGCAATGTGCTCAATGATAAGCACGATAATGGTCACCGGCAGGTCGGGCGCCACGGCCGAGAGAAGCTCCGTGTCGATCTTCGGGGCCCCGGCGTGCTGGAAGCCGCTAGGCACCTTGCCAAGAATCTTGAACTTGGCCTTCTTGGCGTCCCAGTTGACGTTGCGGTTGACGAGCCAGCTGATGAGCACGTACAGCAATATCACAAACGCCATACGCAGCGTCGACATGAAGAACCAGAACTTCTTGCGGTGCGGCTGGCGGTCCGACATGGTGTTGCACACGAAGCGGATCGCGTACAGCAGGAACAGCGCCGTCAGGCCCATGGCCGCGTCGAGCTTCGCGCGCGGCAGCGCCTTGAGCGTGTCGATGATGACCATGTACGTCGCGCCGCGGGTGTTGACGCCGCTGATGCCGAGGAGCGCGGGCACCTGGCCGGCGGCGATGGAGATGGCGGCGCCCGTCATGAAGGAGGTGATGGCGACCAGCGGGATGAACTCGACGATCCAGCCGAGGCGGACGAGGCCGATGCCGAGGAGCACCGCGCCCGAGATGATGGCGAGCGCCTGCGCGATCTGCGGCGCTTCGTACTGCGGGTGGGTGTCTTGCACGCGGAGGACGATGTTGCCCACGAGCTGGGACATGACGGCGACGGTGCCGATGGTGATGTCCTTGGAGGTCGCGAAGGCCCAGTAGAGCAGGAAGCCGACGAATGAGGTGTAGAGACCGTACTCGGGGCTCAATTGGGCGAGGATGGCGTAAGCCATGCCCTGCGGGATGACCACGAAACCGACCGTGACACCTTTCACGAGACCTCGTCAGCCATGGGGATTTCTCTCGGCGTGTGGGGTAGAGAAGGGAGGGCAGCGTGAAGGGTCCCTCGTGAGACCCTGCGCCGCCAAGCTTCTTTCTTGTGTAACACACATCAGGATGGGGGGAAATCAAGATCCAACGTACCAGCGATGATATCTCCAAGCAGCCATGTGGCGTTGTAGTGGAAGATCCACTGCCAGAAGGGGAAGAGGGACTTGATGTAGGCGAGCGTCCCCGGGATCGTGGGCCGGTGAGCCTCAATGAACTCAGCGACGGTCGGCTCTCTCTCCTCATATTGTTCGACGTCGTTGAAAGAGGCGGCGGCGGACTGGACGGCCTCTCTCGGCTCGTTGCGGTACCGGGCGTCGACATCGATGCCGAGGCCCTTGGCCAGGACACGCCCGGCGTTCGGCATGGCGGGCGGCGGTGGGCGTTTCTGATATGCCTCCGTGAATTGAAGTTTTCAATGGCCCAAAAAGTTCTATCCTGCGCTCGTGGCTGAAAAGAACTTGACAGGCTGAGCGACTGAACCCGAGAAGGATCAGTCAAAGAGAAACGAGGAGGACCTGGCCGGGACAGGGACAGCCCAGACGAGATTGTGCGGCGGCGGAACAGGGAAACTTATACTGCCTAGTATGCGGCAACATACGAGAGCTACCCGTGATGATGTATTCCCCCTCTTGGACGTAGATGCTTGGCCGCGTCGCCAAGAAGCGTGGCTTCGGATCGTCCTGGTCTCGCCAAGGACTCGATTGGAGCCCTGTGATGTTGCGCTCCCACATGCCGCCCGGGGTGTGCGAATCCTATTTTCTGACGACATTATCAATCTCTATTGTGCAGGCATGGGTGTTGACACCCTTCTTCTCCTTCCTCTTCTCTTTCTTGAAGCCAGACGATCATGCATCGTAAAGCTATTTGTCCAAGTGCGTGAGAAAGAAACGTCCAGTGCTGGATTCCAGTGTTTTGGGATGGCCCATGTTTGGAGTAACATCAAAGGGTCTAGTGCGTCTGGCGTCTGGCCCGGGGGAGGAGGCAACGAAGAGACGCCGGGGCGGACGGACACCCACCCCCATGGGCTGACCGAAAAAGGGTCCTGTTTATTTGTTGGAAAAGTGTAAATGTGATATGTACTCTGTCTTTAGGTACTTTGCTGTGGAATGGCCGTGTCTGGCTACATGGGGCAGAGGTCCTGCTCGTCCCGGGTTAGTTTAATTCCTCCCTCTCCGTCGGCCGGCGGCCGGGGTGGTCCTGTCCTGACTCTGTAGGACGTGGGGGCGGCGGGAGAGCTGTCAGAAAAGCAATTCCGCCGTCTAATTCAGCGTGTGCGCCGGACACAACTTGAAATGGCATGTGCCGTTTGTAAACAAGGGCTAGTCAACAGATGCCCGTGTCGTGTTTTGGGCGGCTAACACGCGGGTTCGCACACAGAACACATAGCTTGCTTGATACTTTGCACATGTGCAGGTGACATTCCAGTTCGACAGAAGAGCTACCTTCCCTGCATCAAAAGTCTTCACAATCGGCATCGTCTGTCCTGAGTGGTCGATCGTGAGTGAGGCGAGAAGCACGGCAGATAGCGCCTGGGGCTGATCGGTAGACGCGAGGTTAATGGCGTTCCAGACCGAAAAAGATGTCCAACCTCGCGGGATGTCTGGGACGTTGGAACAAGACTGGCCCGGCGTCTTGGGATGGGTGGTCTAGGTACTAACTAGTCGACGGCCGAAAGAAACTACCGAAACCTGACCGTACATATGAGCAAGATACTTGAGGCTGGTTCAGCTTCTCCGCGGCACGCGCTCACCATGTCTGTACATATTCATATTCATATGTCGTCCATGTATGCTTCTTGCGCCTTCGCCTTTCCACCCAAACCGCCGGGGATGAATTCCTCTCATTAAGCTTAAATGCTAGATGGCTATTCGGTTACAGCTGTCATGCCCATCCGCGATGCCTTGTGCAGCATAGTCGCTGTTCCATGCGACCCAGAGCGCTGCCGGATACCCGAGAAGCGCAACAGAAGCACACGAAGAATGTCACTCTTCTGATGATCTCGACTCTGAGTTGCGGCCCCCCCAGATCATCCACAGGTCTTGCCCCGTCCTTCCCACAGAGCGAAACAGGCGACCCAGAACACCAGCAGGCAAAAGCTGAGCTAGCTAAACAAAAAGGCTGGTCCCTGTCTCATCTTGGTTCTTCGGTGCATTCCCTGGGCACTGGGCGAAGGGGAGGACATGGGGGCAAAGAAGCGCATTTGGCCCGTGGTGTGGTGTTGGAGAACGAAAAAGATTGGGTCCGGGAAGCATATTGGACGATGGTGTCGAGCACGCCATTCTTGGCGCAAATGAGACCAACACTGCAGGATCCCTCCCTCCAGAAATCGGGGAAAGGATCGCACCCGCGCCAAACAAACACTGAAAAAATACATGAGTCTTTTCGACTCTTCTCGGGGAGTAACCCTCTTTCTGGGTAGGGTCCCTTGGCATTTTGGTCAAGACCCGGGTGCCAGGGGATCGCCAATGGTTGCAGAAGGTTTTGACATGACTGTCAATTTGGTGTTTTTGCTTGGCACACGATCTCGCTATCACTCCCCAGCAATGCCAGCTCTCTCAAATCCCCCAAGTCTCTGCGCCCGCGCCCAGACGCCATGATCTCGTCTTTTGTGAAGGGGGCGTCGATGCTTGAGTTGCGGCCTGTTGAGCTTGGTGTTGCTTGTTCAGTCTCGGCATCGCGGGAGGAACTCAGCCAAGCCTGCGTTAGACTTTGAGGCGAAAGTTTTCTGTCCGAGGTGCCATCCGATGACGGGCTCTTGGTATTCTTGGTGTTTCTTGGGTTCTCTCCACAAGGAGGAAATTCTCACGCGATGTGAGAGGGGGAAGCGGAGGCGAAAAAATGGGCTGGAGCTGAAGACTGGAGGCGAGAATCGCAGCTTGGTCAAGGACGGACTTGTCTCGGAAGTCATTTTGGTGACGAGTCACTGCAACTATTTTCTGCGACTAGGTTTCGTGGGTAATTGTCAAATGAGAAACGGGGGGCGCACAGCTCATCCGCGGTGCTATTACGCGAAGGAATCGAGGCATCATTCTGCAGAGCGTGGGATGTGTGTCAGTCCCACGACATTAGCACGTCCCAGCTGAACGGAAGAGACCTCTTGTTAGACATGCATGCCGCCACGCAAGAGGCTCGCTTCAAGGTAGCACCCAGTGCTGGGATGAGGTGTGGCATTGGGACCATGGTGCGTCCGAGATCTTCGCTCTCTAGTCTTCTGTTCACACAGGGCACCGTAGGATCTATGTTCTCATGGTCGCCTCGTGGTGGGAGATCGATGTTCGAGCCCAACCTCTGCGTACGGCTGATCCATTAGTAGCTCTATCGCGCCCGCTAAGAACGGCTAGGCATAACGAAAGTAAAAGCACCTCGAGACTGGGCGTCGTCAGTCGTGACGAAAGTGGTCCAGAACGCAATAGATCGTCCTGATTCCTCATCGCAAGGTCATTGAAGTAAGAGGCTGACCGACTCGTCCGTCAACCAGAGGCAGATGGAAAGAATCTCGACTTTCTTCCATCACCACTCGGGTGGCAATGTTCCGGTGAAGCGGATTCCTCCTAGGCCGCCCTTGCATATCCCGTCTCGATGCAGGGCTTCGGCCGGGTTATCATATTGCTGCTGACACTGACAAGGGTATGGCGAGAACCACATTGCAGGATTGGGATGGCCAGGCCTGGAGGAGGCCTCGTAGAAGCAGACTGTTGGTCGCGACATTAACTGTGGAGTTGTATTTACCTGTGTGAGTCTGTTTACAGGATCAATGGCGAAGACCTTCCGCCTTCTATCGAAACCAAAAGACGGAAACTCTGGCTGAGATTGACCCGGGCTGTGTCTCTTTTCCTGCATTTCGCAGTGACTATACAGTCCAATACCATGGCAGCGGCCACAATGAGGCGTATGTGAGGCATATTATCTATCCTTGAGGCACAAGCAAGCCAATGTTGGTCAAAGGATTCTGCTATCGGATCCCACCTCCATGAGTATCCATTTGATCATGATCCATTTCTCATGACAGAGATTGGTGCGCTGGTGATTTTCCGTAGTGCATCAAATGCTAAGGGAACAATAATTGCCCGAGTTCGTCATCGACTGGCAAGATGTCGTGATCACATATTTCACCTCCAAGCACAGTGAAAGGACATTGACATGTTGAAACCTCATAGTTGTGATTATCATAAACCAGTTGCAAATTTGCATGGTACAACGGCCTATACAAACAGCATCTTCCCCGTAGATCTTCCATTCTGCCCTCGGGCAAGAAGGACAACCATCGACTTGGCTGGGTCCGGAACCCCTTTCTCCTCAGGTCGACCTTCCCATGCGCTGAGTCTACCGAGTTCCGCCTCCCATTCTCCCTTCGTAACATCTACCTCTTCAAAGTCGTCACCGTCAATTGAGATGCCCAACCAGTGTACCACTCCTTTCTCGACACCGCCTGAGATGCGTAGCTTCTTGCCATCCTTGGCATCAATCACAGCGGCGTGACTCACAGTCAACTCAGGCGGTGACATACCCATTTTCGTCTGTCCCTTGAGCAATTGGACAGCATCCGTTGTCAGCTCGGGCGTCCTCGGAGGCGCTTGTCGAAGTCGACCGGCTTTTTCAAAAGCATAGGCGTACCGAAACAGATTGCTGTCATCATATGCCTTGGACGCAAAGGTGAGGTTGACCGGCATGCCCGTATCAGACATCAATCCCATAGGTACGCTGACCGTCGGGATTCCCAACTGACGGATCGCGCAGTTGCCGTTCGAGTAAAGCACACCGTTGCGCCATGCGTCCACCGCCGAAGCCTCGTTGACGTCCGCATCCGCCTTCCCGACATCGCCGTTGCACGGCCAGACGACCGTATCGAGACCGCGTCCATCAAGCCAGTCCTCAAAGTCCGCCTTACGCCTGGCCTCGAGGCCTTGGAGGGCCTTTGCAAGACCGGGTATGTCATAAGTACCGACGCGACCGCTGGTAACATGTGCAACAACGTCGGTATGCCGGACAAGTGGGTCATCCGACGCGTACTTGTCGGGGATCGATCCCGGCGGGCGAGGAAATATGGTCGCCGAGTCCACTTGGGCAAGACTGACGGCAACGTTCTTGTCACCGTTGTCGGCGAGAAAATCGTCCCATGCGTAGGCCATCAGTTGACACATGTCGAATTCATTGTGGTGGGGAGGCGCAATGCCGTCGGCGGAGCCGTCTTGAGTGCTTTCTGACCCTTGATTCTCAAACTTCGTCACAACGGGGAAGTCTTCTTCTTCCACAGTGGCCCCGAGGTCTTCAAGAATCTTTCTGGCGTTGCGCCAAAGGTCAACAACGGATTGCTGAGTGTGAACCTTGCGTGCGGCTGGGTCTGAGTCGAGTCCGCCAATGTACATCTTTGGAACGCCAACTCGTTTTCCTTTGAGAGCCTTGTCGTCGGAGAGCTCCTGGTACGACTTGGGTCGGATGCTGTCGACATCTGGGAGCTGCACATATGGCTGCTCTCTCCAAAAGTCGCAGGACTTCTTGTCATCTTTGGCAACAATGACGTCCAGAACAGAGAACATGTCCTCAACCGTCCGCGTGTGAGGCACCACAGTGTCGCAGGAAGGAAACAACGGCCAGTTTCCCCGAATGGATATTATACCCCGTGACGGAGTGTACGCCACCAGGCCGTTATTCGAAGCAGGCGAGCGACCCGACGAGATCGTCTCCTCTCCCATGCCAAAGACACCGAAGCTTGCCGCAGTCGCTGTCGCGGAACCGTTGGAAGACCCCGAGGCAAATGCAGCTGTCAGATACTTGGCGTTGTAGGGCGACTCGGCACGACCATAGACGCCGCGCTGCATGCCTCCTGCGGCCATGGGCGGCATGTTCGTCCGGCCCAAAACTACCGCGCCGGCATCCTTGAGTCTCTTGACTGTGAACGCGTCCTCACTTGCAACCAAGTTCCTGAAAGCAGGCGAGCCAGCGGCTACCGTCATGCCCTGTTCCTTGTACGAATCCTTGATGGTGCATGGGATGCCGTCCAGAGGGCCGTTGACTTTGCCCCAGGCACGTCGCTGGTCTGAGGCCTGGGCGACCTCGAAGGCGTTTTCGTTGATGAGCGGGATTGCATTGAGAAGTGTGGAACGGCGGTCATATTTCGCGATACGGAGCAGATGCTTGGCCGTCAGCTCGACACTGTTGATGCGGCCTTGAGACAAGGCTGATTCAAGGTCGGCAATCGTGGCTTCCACAATTGAAAGCGTCTTTTGACGAGGTTAGCGGCCGTTGCCTGCGGTCACGCAACATGATGCCACGTTTCGATCTACCTCTTACCTGAGGGGTGCTAATGGAACCCATGGCTTCTGGATGTCGGCTTTTGAGATCGACGATGCAGTGCTTGAAACGCGTACGTGCGCGTTGAGACTTCGACTGCCCGCTCAAGATGGGCTTCGGGGTGCTATTTATGCTTCAAGAATGATTCAAGGCAATTAATGATTGCTACTGATGAACATCATTACCTCGTCTCGAAATATTGAGCTCTAAGGGCGAAGAAGGGCGAAGATGGTGGAAATTATCAACTATTGATTCAAAACAATCTTGCTGGTGATTCAACAGCTGTAGAATGTGCTGGTAGAGGTTCATACCTGCAATTTAGCAGCTGCTAATTGATGTTGTGATCTCAGTCAGTACCTTCTGCCCCCGGCCTTCCGTCCCGTGCGTGAGATAAGCTAGCAACTTTAGATTTGACAAACTTCGAACGAAGCCCAACTCTGGCTAACAGCAAGCAGGGGTTCAAGGTATATCATCAAAGGGAGATCCTCTGCCTCGTCTGCCAAACAAGGCTCATTTTTCCATCCATATTGTTTCGCCGCTCTATTTCTCATCATTCAACAGGATGCCAAATGCTATCGATTACGAGGATGTGCCAGGAACGGTTCGTCTTGTCGACGTAGCCGGGAATGCCTCCTCTGAACTACACGATGCATCCCACAACGACATCATCCTCGTACCTTGTCCTAGCTCGGATCCAGCCGACCCACTGAACTGGACGCATCGCCGCAAACTCCTCGCCGTCAGCGTGGCATATCTCTACGTCCTCGGCACCGGCATCGCGACTTCGCTCCAGTACTCCGTCCTTGCTGACATCACGAAAGACACCGGCATCTCCACCGCGAACTTAGTCCAAGGAACTGGTGTGATGTTCTTGTTCTTCGGGTGGGCTTGCTTGATATGGCAACCCATCAGTCTTACCTACGGGCGCCGTGGCGTGTACCTCATCACCATGCTCCTCGCCGTCCCCATGATGGAGTGGACTGCCTATTCAACATCAGCCGGAGAATGGTTTGCACACCGCGTCTTGATTGGCATCATCGTCTCGCCGATTGAGTCATTGTGTGAGGTTACGGTGTTTGACCTCTTCTTCGCCCACAACCGAGGGACGTATATGGGCCTATACGTCTTCATCTTGTTCGGTTCCAATTTCCTCGCCCCGCTCGTTGCTGGATGGTTCAATGACGCATACGGCTGGCGATGGACGATGCATTTCGGAAGCATCATTTGCACCGTGTGCTTTGTGATCATGTTCTTCTTCATGGAGGAGACGATCTACTTCCGAGGTCATGTCATTGACGGCCAGGAAACCGACAGCCATGGTCCAGGGAGTCACGGTTCAACGGACGCCAAACATGATGCAAGCTCAGAGAAGGAAACCCATGATCCAACAACGTCTTCTCAAACTTCTGCAACCCAGTCACTTTCTCCATCTCAAGATATAAACTCAGGATGGAGCAAGTATACACTCTTTAAAGCCCTCCCTGGACGGCCCAGCAATATCGATATGCTACGCATGGCCTACCGACCTATCATCATGATCTTCCGATTTCCGACCGTTGCATGGGCTGGGTTCCTCTATGGTATCAACTTGGCTTGGTATAACATTTTGAACGGGACCGCAAGTCCGGTTCTTACAGGCAAACCCTACAATTGGTCAGCGGCGCTGGTTGGATGTGTCTATGCGGGCCCCATCATCGGTGCAGCCGTGGCTTCGCTCTGGTCTGGAAACGCAGCGGACTGGATTGCTCTCCGGCTAGCCAGACGCAACAATGGCATCCGCGAGCCTGAGCATCGTCTATGGGTTTTGACCTTGTCCGGTGTGACCTCTGCAGCTGGCCTCATCACCTGGGGTCTCGGCGCCTATCACAACGTCCATTGGGTTTGGTTGATATTCGGTCTCGGCATGCTGACGTTTGGCGTTGTGACTGGCGGCTCGATCGCAGTGAGCTACAATGTTGACTGCTTCAAGGAAATTGCAGGAGAGACGACGGTGTCTATCATGCTCATCAGAAACACAATCGGGTTTGGCTTCAGCTACGCCATCACCCCTTGGTGGACCACGCAAGGGCTGCAGAACTGCTTCATCACTGCGGCCATGGTCTCTGTTGCGTGCACCTTCACGTTTGTGATCATGATTATCTATGGGAAGAGGATTCGCCGCTGGTCCATTCCCGCTTACCAGAAGTACATGGCAACGACAGTGGCTTCACATGAGTGAGGTGGAAGAAGTGAAGACCGGGAATGGAGTGTGTTTGGAATTCAGTACAGAGAAATTTGATTTGGAAGGTTTAAGGTTACAAACTTTACAATAAAGATTGGAGGAGAATACCGTCTAGAATACTGTTTCTATGTCCTTCTAATAAAGCTTGGGATAACGTCAAGCGCATGCCACCTGCGGTCATACCAGATTCCATTGTATTTGAAATGCCTTAACACTTGGTACTTAAGTTCTGACAATGCTTACGGCGCAGTCAGGAAGTGGCCTCTGCTAGTTCAAGCAGTCTTTCTGCAGCTTCAGCTGCAGAGGGAATGTCATGTTCCAGGTTCTTGACCAAATCCCCCAAGAAGGTGATCAGCCGTTTCGCTTCAGTGCGATACACCCCGTGTTCATATCTAGAAGCATTGCGAAGCATATGACCTACCCCGAGAAGCTGATGCACAATCTGGATGCTTGCAACTTTGAACATGATGAGCGGGGCTTTGATCACCTCTTCTAGAAAGCTATTGGCGAGAGTCATGACCTCTTGAGCGGGTGCTTGGCAGTAGAGGAGGGCCATGATGTTCACGAGCGTCTCCGTGCAAGTGATCTGGACTGACATGTACTTGCAGCGGTTACTCTGAAATTCTCCATCTGCCTCAGTCAGGCCCAGGAGTATGCGAGACTTATTGGCCTTGAGCTGGGCTAGGCTGTTGAGCAGAGTCGTCGGGGCGGGCTTATCGTAGAGGACGGCCAACACTGCCTTCCGGTTCTTGCACCCGTGCAGGCTGAAGATTGCGTATTCCAACAGCCGGAACAGGTCTGTGATGTAGTCCCAGCCGGCAGTCCAGGCCTGTGTTTCCGGGTCCATCGCTGGAGTGATGCGAGGATAGAGAACTGATACTTGCGATTCCGGCATCCTCACGACGTGTCCAAGAACACATGCCGAATGGACCTCAAGGCGATAGGCACACCAAAAGAGGCGCCTGCGATCGTCAACCTCGAAAGTGGTGATATCATCGGGCCAGCGGCTTTCATCGTGAAAGCCATGTTGCGCGACTGAGGCATGATAGAGACCCAAATACCGGTGGAGGTCGCTGTGATTGCCATGGCGCAGAGAGTAGACAGCCAAAAGGCCGAAGGACCGCAGATAGTCCAGGTTCTGCGACTGAGGGATATGAACTGGTATATTGGACACAGCCTCTGTGAAGTAGAGTTCGCTGTCGGGGATGGAGATGCCTTGAAGCAATGTGTCGTCAAAGACTGCGTTCATCGCCGCCATTTGGGAACTGACGGCGCACAGCGACATGAGTAATGCGTACGATGGCCCATCGGTGTCGCTGATGCCATTTTCCCAGCGCACTTCAAGATCCTTTTCAGAGAGGAACGGAAAGCTACCATGATTAGCACTCACATAACGGCCTGCAGACTGCAAGATAAAACTCACTAGCATTGATACATCGTATCGCGGTAGATTCGAATCAGTCGGCGAATGGCATAGAATGATTTGAATCCGCCAATGGGTCCTTCCCCACCGTGGTCCTGCATCGCAGGAGGCTTTGGGATAGCCGGCTTTCGTCCCCTTTTTCGGATAGGGCGGCTCATTGTGCATTCGATCTCATAGTCATTACAGTTGAGACAGCTCTCTCTTGCCTGTTTTCCCTGACCAAACCTTGCCAGTCCGGGACGGCATCTGAGGCCTCTTGAGTGGCAGAAATCGCAGGCTTGCGAGGCCCGTTGTCTCTTCTGAGTGTGGGACATTATGAGCAGCACGATAGAAGATCAATATCACAATGGGCAATGATACAGTGTTTGAGAAGAAAGATGAACATATTATCAACTGGAAAGAGTGAATCATCAGGGGTTACGAGTGTTTGTGGAAGTCTTCTCAAGCTATTTAGCCGCTGGTAATTGCGATAGCAGCAGTCGATAAGAACTGCCGATGGGCGAAGAAGGCCTTATCGCATTTACCAGCGGCTAAATTAGTTCTTGAAGAGCTGATAAGAGGCATCGTCTCCATTGAAGAGGACCGTGCACCATAAACTGTGATTTCTATCGCAAAAAGGGTCATGGGACGCCCAGACGGCACCGCGCTACGTGCCCGGCAAAGTGAGGTTTTGTATGCTTCGTGGCATGCGGCGAAAGCTTTTAAATATTCCTATCTGTCTTCGTTTCTAGTATCGTCATCGTCATCGTTATTCTTGTTTCTCTCTTTTTATTATCATCGACACGTGTCCTTGAACGAAGTAAAGACGCCAAACTGTGCATTTGTGGATGAAGGAAATACGGACAGTCACGCAGACGTCGGAAATTAGGTGGTCTCTAGATCTGAGCTTCGCTAATATCTTTCAACCTAGTTTGAATTAATAGGACGAAACATAATACGCGCTGGTACCCTTTGTGAAGGCGTTGGGTCAGAGGTGCTGGAATATAGATATTATTGGGATCCCAAGATGGTGCCTTGATTTTCATGCCCTAAAAGGCTCTGTCCCATCTTCCATTCGATTGGCCTGCTATTTTTTCAAGCAGGTGCCAAAATTGCCAGGACTGTAAAGCTCTCAAGTGGCTCGTGATATGACATGGCTGGCAATAAGATCCTGCACCGATTGGACTGGCCCATACGACAAATGGTCGCTTGCCAGTTGGCAATCGCAGTCTGGATCAGGGGCACAAACAAGATCGTGCTTATCAAGAGTTGTTAGATCTTGGCTGAGTTGTGTTCTCATCGAACGCTTACCTCCAAACAGATATCTCGGACCTTACCGCTATGGTCAAGAATATCATCATAGCTGGGAAAAGTTCTGTTTGCCTGTATTGCTTGAGCAGCGAACATGCCGAATTAAGTTCGATTATCGGGTCGTCCTTGACTGTCGACATTGGAGGCCCGCCCAGGTGTGCGATAGGGATTCCCAACAATCACAACAGCGTTGATGGCTTTTATTGTCTCGTGGTCCAATTTTCCGAGGGCTTCTAGAACCACTGTTGCTCCTTGGGAATATCCCAGCAGAGCGTACTTTTGATTGGGGCAGTCCTGTAGGCCACGGCGAATGGTATCGACCGTGTTCTGCACGCCGACGGAGACGTTCTGATCGAAGCTAGCGGGATAGATGATGGACTCGGTAGTGATCTCGGTGGTATTTGCGATCATGCGTTCTATGGCAATTTGAAATGACAGAGAGACACCTTGAGGCTCACCAGACCCTCGAGCATCGAGAATCTCTTGATGATGCCGTCAGCATCTTTAGAAGCTTGATTTGATTTACTCACTCACTATAAGGAGTGCAATTTTGAACTGGTTGGGTACTGCTGATATTGACGTGACGTATCGCGAGAAAGGTTGGATCACCGCAGCGACAAGAGCCCTGAGCGCGAGCCAAACTCGCAATGCTCAAGACGAAAGCGGCGATAAAAGTGAATAAAGTTGCTAAATGGAGCATTTTGAAATTGTCTGGGGCAACAAAATCAATTGTCAAAGATCTTTGCGGTCAAAGTCAACATTTATTTCCCCTTGTGCGATGTTAAATACTTTACACAACCACATCTTTACGGTATACGGCTGGGCATTTCCAAATCTACGGGTTCAAATTAGGATAGCCGGCGGGATACGCGTATACAGAGATATTTGGGGCTATACGAGGAAACAGTCCATATGCAAGCTTGCATAATTGTTGAAGGGTCAACTACTTTGTCCTTCGATTGTTCGTCTTTTCCGAGACATTGCCATTCATCACAGGAAATTGAATCCCGAGAAATTGTCGACTGATTGCACTGGATAGACACGTTACACAACAAGGACACGATGGGACGGCGGACTGAAACCCGAAAAAATGATCGACAAATGAAAACAAACTACTGAATCTAGCGTTCAGTTGAAACTATGATTCATGCTCTCCCGTTGGAGAGATTCCGGCGCTCTCTCAAATCTCCATGTTGCCAAGAGATGAAATCATAATAACCGTAGGAACCCTGGTTTCTCTTCTTCGTGAGTCCCAAGACTTGTCTCTTGGATGCCACCCTTGTGGATAACATGTCGCCGACGAAGTTGGTGACTTGCTTCGTGGCATACGCCGCACCTCTGACGGGGGCAGTGACTGCGGTGCCAACGGCCTTAGTGACGCGTCCGATGCCCGCAAAGGCGCGTCCGAAAAAGCCAGGCTGGGGCTTGTTGGCGTCCTTCTCAGACTTCGAGTTCGCGCTCTTAGCACGTCTTCTTTGCTCCATCTCAACTTCATCCTTCGTCGTCCTTATGTAGAGACGCTCCCACATGCCGATCTGCTCCTCGTGGAGGGTCATGTTACGCTTTGTGTTGACCCAAACCCACCTCTCTCCATCGTCAACCTTTCTGACCTCACCTCCATTAACCATCGGGTCCATTTCTTTCCAGACCCATCTCTCCCCATGCTCGTCTTTGCTCAATTCTCCTCCCGCAGGAAGTTTCTGCCAAACCCACTTTCCATGCTCATGGTTAGGCTGGCGCAGGGTTTCCCAGATCCAGCCTTCAGTGCGCTCGGGCTGGTAGAGGTCCTCCTCAAATGGCATCTGCTTCGGCACCACCATGGAGTCTTCGATAGGCATACCTCCGTGAATAGAGGACACATCGCCAGTTAGTGTCTTGTAGGTGAATCCGTAAGTCGGTCCAGGTCGTTTGGCCCACTCTGGTCGGTCTGTTGCCGCCCGACGGATTTCAAACCCATTCTCGATCGAGGTCAGTGCAGGACACGTCCATTCACTCTTGTCGGTCAGGTCGTTGCCCTTATATACGTAGCGAATGCGAACCGATGGATGGATGAGTTCATGAGTTTCCCCGAGCGCATCACCTTTCTGGGAAGTGTAGAGGCCTGGCGTACGGCTTCCCTTTTGGGTGTTATATCCCATGAAGGAGTTCAGGGGGGACTTCACTGCATCATACACCTTATCAGGCACACTCGTGAATCCCCCGGGACTGGTGATGATAGCCATGCCCCATTGCCGAGGCTCGTTCTTGAAGCCCACCGATCGGAAGACGCGAACCATCTCCTCGGGAACAAACTCCACGCCGATAGATGAGAGCTGATCCGCCATCCCTAAGATAGTTAGTTTTCAATTTGAACATTGGGACATATCAAAACTTGGAAGATGACTTACATGCAAGCGAGACCAGAGGGTTACGGTTATCCTCAGTGCCTCCACCGACATCGCTATGAGTTCCTGGAAACCACACCTGGCGAAGATGGGTTGTCTTGTTTCCCTCGGCCTTGCCCCATAAGGTGGGCTTGAAAGTGGTTCGCCACTCATCCAATGCAAGTGCATGGAATGCATAGTCGACCCTGTCGGAGATGTTGCGGCTAGCAAAGCGCAACTAGCATAATCAGTCAGCTTCTATGAAGGTGATGTCGCGTCGCTTTTGAGTCAAAAGACTTTGAAGCAAAGGCCAGACTACTTGACTCACCTCTCTGGGGTCACGTCCAGGCCGGACGATATCAAGACGCCACGGCATCTTGGGATAACCGAGGCTACCAACCGTGTCCCAGACGCCTGAAATTGGCAATGTTAATAGCCGAAGAAACTGCATGGGGAAATGGTTCTGCCTTCTGGACTGGACATTACTCACCCACGGCCTTGACTCTTACGACTTCGGGGACCCACTTGCCGTCCTCCCCTTGCACACAGTGAATCATTCTGAACTGTTTCTTCGTCAGTCGTGGTTCCAAGGTAGTTGGCAACCTCTTGCTCCACACGCAGCGGAAATAGCACTTACGCCTTTGAGGTAATCACGATACTTGTTCACCATCTTGCGCACCTTGCCTTCCACTGACCTCTCTGTCTGCCTATTGTGTTCGTACCCTATCATCTTAAGGCGGTCGAATCGATTCTTATTCTTCTCGTAATTGGACTTCTCGACGTCCTTGATGTCCTTTCCATCGAAGTACCCAAACCTGTCAACCCACTCTTCTTTCTCATGGTCAGCCTCATCCTTGGCCGCCATCTGCCGATGCAAGTCATTGGTCAGATTGAAGGCCTTCAGATGCTTCTTCTCGTCGTAAGCAGCGAACTTGGTCCAGTTGGGGAAGTCTTGGTAATCGTCGAAGATGACTCCGAAGTTGCTCAGGCCAAAGCTGTTGAGAAGCCCAATGGAACACACCATTCCAGAAACGGATCGAGCAGTAAAGGCCCCACGAGAGAATCCCACGATCACAATTTCGTCGCCCGGGCTGTAGTTCTCGCAAATGAAACGATAGCAATCCTTGATGTCCTACAGATTTATGAGTCAGTCTCTGGCACCTGTGCTTAGCGGAATCTCGTTTCGCAAGATCACTTACCGTCAGGACGCCAGTGCCAAAAGCTCCGCCAATGGTCCTAGCCGCAAGAGACTCTTCTGTGCCAACTCCGCGGTGATAGTAGACAACTTGCGGCATGCCGGTGCAGCACTTTTGCGCAATCGCGGTGGAGAGCCTGCTGACATTGGTTGTGTAGCCATTTGATCCATTCCTTCATACGTCCGGCACAGTCAGTGAGGTTGTTCTTTGTGGGAGGAGCCAAGACGGCCCTTGAAATACACCAGGGGTAGCTTACGAGTCGTTCCATGTACCATCACAGCACACGATCAATCGCTTCTTGTGGGTTCCCGACTTTGTGGGATTATGAGCGCACACGTGCTCGGTAATTGGGTAGTGACAAGACATAATGGAATGATTGCTTGGAGAGTCGACCTCGTAGAATAGAAGGCCACACAATTGACGGAAATCAGACTGTTAAGGGGGTTTGGAAGACGCCCTTTGACTGTTGTTATACGAGCCTAGGCGTCACATGTAATTCAGCAACATCAAAAGATCAGCGACCAATCTGAAGCTTTGTCTCAGACAATCGCATAAGTTCTATCGAGCAAGATGCACTAGTTCCCCGGATGATGCGGAGGAGAGAGATCAACTACCTATCCCCATATTTCGGTTGGAGAAATTTGACCACATTAGAAATTCCATGCCATAAAAGGTGTCTTTCCAAATGCGGACATATTCGTCAGGAATTCGGAATCTGATTCGGCACTTCATCCCGAGATGGCTAGTCGCTTCATGTCGAAAATGACCGAGTCGTATTCGGACCGCCCTGATTCTGAAGGAACATTCCATCCATTTGAACACGAGTGCTTGAATTGTACTTTTTGTCCTTGTCTGAAGCTTCGAAGACCGTTCGTAGAGTCTGATTGCTGGCTACGAGAGCAAGCTTCACCGTTGACATCACTATTGCATTCATAGTCCGTTTCCAAATGGACTTGTACTTCAAGCGCTGGAACGAACCTGCCGACTTTTTGACCGAAAGCATCTACGTCACTATCCGCGCTTGCCACCGGTCGCAAAAAACGTTGCCTGTTTAAGTCAAAGGTGTGATTCATAAAGCCGGGGCAGCTGAATGCTTCGTGCCGTTGCGGGAATCTCCATGTCTCAGCCGTAAACCAAACGATGTCTCGGACGGGTCAGATATCCCAACAAAAGGCCAAGACGGCATGCAATGATCTACAGAATCTCCTCGAATGACGATATATGAATTGCTGAGAGACAACTAAAATATGCCAAAAGGGATCGACGAGAGGCTTGCGTAGTATCGGGAGCTAAAACGCTTGCGACCGTGGAATCTTTCTGTTTAATACCTCTTTCTGACTCATGTTGTTTGCTAACTCAAAGGTCTTGGAACGTGCAAAGGATGGAGTCCTTCGTCCTTGCGGCTATTTCCTCGATTTCTGCCGCCGTGCTGGTATATGCGGGAGCAAGCAGAACATGGTCCCCCAGAGTTCCATCCTTTGTACCGTTACCTGGGTAGAGGCTGATACCGAACTCATTGAGGCCGTTCAGATGCACCTTATTAGCTATATCAAAGGACCGCGGGAATGGCTCCTTCGTCGCTTTATCGGACACAAATTCGATCTAGATCCATCTTAGCAGTCTTCATTTCAGGGAGTGGGAGACGTCATAACCTACCCCCCAAAAGAGGCCTCTTCCTCTGATGTTGCCCACATAAGGGTGTTCGTCAAGGTGTTCATGCAGGAGTTTCTCAAGGAGAGCCCCTTGATGTCTAACGTTTTCGATCAGATTGTCCTCTCGCACGATGCGTTGCACTTCTAAAGCAGCGGCGCATCCAACAGGGTGGCCTTGATAGGTGTGTCCATGGGAGAATGCGCTGTCGAATATGTGAGTCGATGGCTCTAACGCAAACGGGGCTACCCTTACCCAGTGCCGCTTGTGAGAGCATCGGCAACTCTGTGATTCATCAACAAACCTGCGACAGGGGCATATCCACCGCCCAGGCCCTTCGCCATGGTTTGGATATCAGGCGTAACGCCTTCATGCTGCCAGGCATGCAATGTTCCGCAACGACCCATGCCAGACATAACCTCTGTATCGACGTGAGTGAAAGCAAGAGCAATCAGAGAGACGATTACTCACCGTCAAAAATCAGAAGAGCACCGTATTTATCACAGACATTCTTCACGGCCTTGAAGTACCCGGGAACGGAAGGCACACAGCCAAGAGCCTTGATTAATTAGTTAGTCTTGCAGACCTTAACGAAAAGTATGCGGTGGAAGCTTACTGCACCGACGACTGGTTCAGCGACGAAAGCGCAAACAGTCTCGGGACCCATCTCCTGAAACTTGCGGTCCAACTCATCAGCTAGCTGCTCGACGTATTGCTCGACTGTCTGGCCCTCAGTCATGCCGCGATACGCATTGCATGGCGATACTCGGCCGATATTAGGTAGAAGCATGTCTGTGAAGAGACTTCTACGTGCAACATGGCCGCCCATAGACAGTGAGCCGAGGGTTGTGCCATGGTATGAGTTTTCTCGAGCGATAAACTTGACTCTTTGCGGTTGGCCAATTTCAACGAAGTATTGACGCGCCATCTTCATCGCCGCATCCATTGCCTCCGAGCCTATGATATCACAGTCAGAGACGCTGGAACATACTTTGATTAAAAGTGCATGCGTCTTACCGGAGCACATAATATATGCCTTTGACATGAGACCATCGGTTCCTCGAATCAGTTCATCTGCCAATTCTTCCCCAATCGGGTGCCCAAAGAACATCGAGTTGCAGTACGCGAACTTGTCCAACTGCGCAATCATCGCCTTCTTAACGCGCTCATTGTTGGATCCAATGCAAGCCACCGCAGCCCCGCAGGTCGTGTCCAAAATGGTCTGGCCATTGGAGAAGGTTAGATACTTTCCGTTCGCTGAGACTACTTGTGGCGGCGCGGCTTTCAAGCTGCGATGGAGAACAGCACTCTTGTTTGAGGGCATCATCTTCGCGATCGCTGGCTGGAGCTCTGCATCGATTGCTGCTGTCGCATTGACCGCAGCCCCCGCAGATGAAGTGGTCGACATCCTTGCCAATTGAGCTCGATAGAGTCTCGCGGCCAAGGGCGATGCTTTGCCTCGCAGTGACATCGTGAATATGCTTTCGGAGGTCCTGTGAAATGGGATTGATAATGTTCTGAGTGGCCAAGACGTCACGTTCGTGAGATTGATGGAAGAGTGTAAGATCTGAGGCCGCAAAGGTCTGAATCCTAGAGTCCGAGGCCCTTATCACGGTCAAAGCTACAACAATGCCGGCCGCTTCTTATCGGGTTAATTTACCTCTCAACGGTTCTCATTGCTACTTGCTGATCACTGACCTCCGATTCGATAAGCACGTCGGTGGCTTATCTGCAGGGCGTATCTGGCGTGTCCCACTGCGGAGTTGATTGGCGGGGTCATCGGTCTTCTTCCACGTGGGCGAACATCCGTTCTTCGGCGTGGCAGCACATCAGGACTTTGCTGCTGATATTCCAAATTATTCAAGTTCTCTTTATTCTTCATATGAACACTTCAATCGTGAATTTGTTCCTGTTTTGTCTCATTCGAATGTTGTGTAAGTATTGCAAGCGCAATTGGGCCCCAAAAAGAGTATCTACTGTAGTTTACGTTAGTTAGAGCAACTAACTTCATTTCTTATGTGTTTCCTATTGTCGTCCCCGCCATGGCTAGCATCACTGCTACCATCTGCTATCATGGTCTCCAGTTTCTGGTATTATTATATAATCATCATTTTTAGGAAGAGGTTTGTTAGTCGGACAGTGTCCCCGACGGTTCGTGATTAAAGAAAGAGCGATAGAAGTAGTAATAAGGATAACGATAACGATGACGACGACGACGACGGCGATAAGAATATATACTAATAACGAAGAAAGTGAGAATATGAAATATAGTCGCTTTAGAGATAGGCTACGGATTACTTGCGTGTGTGTGTGTGTGTGTGTGTGTGTGTGTGGACACTGCCCGGCTAGTAAAACTCGTTAGGAAAATGGAGTTGAAACGTACTCTCTCGAACTAGAACAGAACACCAACTACTTTGCGTGAATCATGGAAATGCTGAACCTATCTTGAAAATCACTAGTATCCCTTCACAAATCCTTGCTTTCTCCACGTTTCTCACGCTCGCACTGACTGGTTGATTGTTGGCTGCAACATTCTCAGCTAGCTGCGACACGGGACGGAACGTCTAAATGCGGCCTGATATGCCATCCCGGAAGTAGATGGGTAATGTTGGGTGAAGGACTGCAGAACAGCCACCATAATCAATGAGTTCGAGAGAAGGAACCCGGGCGTTGGGCAGGCTGCACCCCAGAGTATCGACGTTCTTCTGAGGCATCATCCCGGACCCAGCGCAAAGGATCCAGATCCCAAATGTGCATGTAGTTGGTGCCAACGACGGGCACGCCCGACAGGGGCTAGTTCTAGCACCTCTTTGCGACTCGCGTGTCTTCCAGACCATCGTGTACGAGGATCGTCATGAATGTCTTAGAAAAGATGAGACGCTTCAACGGGTCGCTGATTGCATGCAAACGGCAGTCGCCCGGAGCATTTACCTCCAGTTGGCAGTGATTCGTTTCACTTGGGAATTGGTCGAAACCGAAGGGGGTAATTCATGCTTCTATTATCTTTTCTAGCCGTCGTGAAGTTAATCTCTTTTATGCTACCAATAAAAGTCCACAAATGCATGTCCGCATATCTTTCTTGAGGCGTGTGAACCTCACACTACTAGTTCCTTTACATATTAGTTCTTAATTCTCAAATCACTAGGTTCTGTTCATTTGAGGTAAAACACCAACAATGCGATTAGTACACCAGGCATCTTTTCTCTAATAGACCAGCACTGCTTTCTATCATCTGAGCGATGCTGCTGTGCCCTACAACAGCAGCCTGTGTGTGCCCTTCACTAGGCTTAGAAGTGCTGCCACTTCTCCCTAGTTTGACGTGCATGTTTCGTGGGGGTAATGCGTGGCGGCAAATAGGATCAATAGGAAGCAGGGGAGTTGTTTTCGTAATTCGTGAAGAACCGGGTGTGCGCAACCGAAATGGGCTCATATTGAATCACTTTTGATTGTTTGCTTGCGGCACAGTCAGGAGTTCTTCCCGTTGGCCTCGCTACGAAAACACGTCGACGCGAAGCTGGGGCTGCAATCCTGCCCCCATGGCCGGAAGAGCCACGTCGATCCTTTCTTCCGCAGCCTGCTGTCATTGATGGAGTGTTGGTGCAGGATTTCGGCTCGCCAACCTCTAGGCGCTACGAAAGGTTTTGTCCGAAAATGTTCAGCCAGCAGCCCTATCACACAATGTGGCTCGCATCTCTCATCGATGAGTACAGGGCCACATGACCCTTTTCTCCCTAGTACGCTCTTATCATTACTCTGGTATTCCCAAGTGAACTACGTCGGGCCCCTCAGCCCAAAGCGCGTTCAAAATTCCATCATTACTCTGGATCTACAATCAAAATCAAGAACACGCCCGAACCTCCCAATGGCACAATTCACAGACCCTCAGACTTCACCTGTCATGCCTCATGGACCTCTACAGTCCCTTACGGCTCCTCAAACTTCAACCGATCAGCAAGACATCGAGAACGATCATGCCGACCCAGCAACACCTTGGAAGACTCAAGGCTGGCGCTTTTGGGCCGTCTTTCAAGGACTCTGTCTGGCTATGCTGTTGACAGGCTTGGATGCATCCATCCTCGCCACGTCGTTGCCAACCATTGTCTCTGACCTCCACGGCGGCGCACTCTACATCTGGACCATGAACGGATACTTCCTCACTACCGCCGTTGTTCAACCGTTGATGGGACAAGCCGCTGACATTTTCGGCAGGAGAATTCCTATGCTCGTGGCTCTGTCATTGTTCACACTCGGGAGCGGACTTTGCGGCGGATCAACTTCTTTACCTATGCTTATTGCCGCGCGCCTCATTCAGGGCTTTGGGGGAGGAGGCCTGTTTGTCATGACGAACACCATCATCGCCGACCTTACCCCTTTGCGCGACCGCATGAAATATGTGTCTCTGGTCATGATTTTCTTGTATTCATGTTCCCGTCTTCTTGTCTATGTTAGGACTATTACTAATTCGTTCATAGCACCCTAGGCTCTTTTCTGGGTCCCATCATCGGCGGTGCTATCGTCGACAACACGACTTGGCGTTGGGTCTTCTACATAAACTTGCCCATTTGCGCGGTCGCCCTCCTCCTTGTCTTCCTCTTCTCACGCGTCAATCACAAACGAGAGGGCACGATTGCCCAACAACTTGGACGGGTGGACTACTCTGGCAACTTCATTCTCGTATGCGCTGTCGTCTCTATTCTCATCCCGTTGACATGGGGAGGCACTACCTACAGCTGGAAATCATATCATATTCTTTTGCCCCTTCTGGTTGGCTTTACTGGGCTTGTATTGTTTGGTGTACACCAGGGAAAGTTCGCCCGTGAGCCTACCATGCCTCTTCGGGTCTACAGCAACGTGTCTTGTGCTTTGGGCTACGGTATTACCTTCCTGCACGGCATCATCCTCAGCTGGCTCAGCTTCTTTCTTCCAGTATACTTCCAAATTCTACTCGAGTCCACCCCCCTTCAGTCTGGAGTCAAACTTCTCGCCGTTGTCATTCCTCTTGCCCCCGCTGGTATGGCCGGTGGCATCGCTATAGCCGTCACCGGTCATTACAAGATGGTCATCGTTGCCGGCTTTGTCCTCCTGTCAATAGCGGTCGGCTGCATGACCACACTGGATGCCAACTCCTCCACCGCCATTTGGATCGTATTTCAAGTTCTCGCCGGACTGGGCGGCGGCCTCTCCCTGACTGCTACCCTGCCCGCTGTCCAGGCACCAGTGCCTGAATCAGACGTGGCCATCGCCACCGCCGCGTGGGCCTTCGCGCGGTCTTTCGGGGCTATCTGGGGTGCCGCCATCCCTTCCACCGTCTTCAACTCTCGCTTTGACGAGCTTCTCCATCTCATCCCTGAGCCGTCAGTGCGTGACCTTCTCGCCCACGGTGGCGCATACGAGCATGCCATCCGCTTGTTCATCAAGCAGTTTGACGCTCAGCCAGTACTCAAGGAACAGATCATCCATGTGTATACTGAGGCGCTCAAAAGAGTTTGGATCGGGTTAATTCCGTTTGCTGTTGTTCCCATTGGTCTGGCTCTCTGCATAAGGGAGGTTGAGTTGAGACAAGAGCTCAAAATCGACTTCGGACTGAAGGAAACATCGCAAACCCAAGGTTGAGTGATTCCTTTCGTAAGAAAAGCTTGGATTTTACCAGCTGCAACCCTGACTGCCTTAGGTCCCTTCCCAATTTGGCGACTAAAGCTTAGGTACCTACAAACAACCTATATATAGTAAACTCCCACTCTCCGTACTAAACTCCAACCTCTTCCTCTCTAGAATAATACCAGAAAGCGGCATGCTGGTATCTAGCATGAGCATTCAGTGCGAACAATCAAAGCAATCTTGAAAACGTACCTTAGGTATCGGTTCATAATATGCTGATGACCGCTTCCGCCCAGGAATTGGGTCATTGATTAAATAACCGGGTTCGACGCTACTACCACGTTCCCGGAAGAGTTGCCAACCATGCCAGGGTGAAATACAAATACAGGCAACGGGTGCTGTGACTACTCGGCTGTTGCGTGACAATAGTCTATGTCAAAAGCAGAGGCTCTTCAGATGCGTCCACGATCTGCGTCCAATCGACCCGAATTCCGTACTCAGATTTGCGCTTCTGCCAGAGATCTTCGAGCATGTCCAGAGACAACGCGATGTTCTGGAATCGTCGCTTCTTCAAAGTCATCTGCAGTCGACTGCGGACTGCCTCCATGTGCTCCTCCTCAGTTGCCTCGCCGCCCGCAAGGAACAGCGGAAAGAGGATGGCCGATTCGGCATGGCTGCCGACTGGGATGTCGGAGACGTGCCTTAGAATATTTGAGATTTGTGTGCGAAGTTTTGTCGGCAGAATATCCCAGCCACTGACCGCCTTTAGCCAATCGTCTTCTGCAGATGAGGCCTCGTCTTCCATACGAGTGCGCACGAGGCGGTAAAGGAAGATCAAAACCGCGCTTCGAAAGGCGTTGGCCAGCGCTACTAGCTCTGGCGCAGCATCAGGGCGGCAGCGCCAGTCTTGCAACTCTTGTTCAACCTCGGCGCATGTGCTGTGAAACTGCATCATCCTTCTGGCGGTCTCTTCGGCAGGTAAGTCCAGGTCCAGTTTGGTTTCTTCATCGAGAAAACAGAGAGTTGAGACATAGCGCAAAAGCTCTGTTGCGACACCCAAGTAGGTATCAACGACGTCGGTGATGCCGTCCAAGTAACTGCAGTCCAGAAGAGGCCGCCTCCGGAGTGTAACGCTACCAACAATATCGTGATACGCGAAGTTGCGAAGGATCCACTGGCCCTCCGAACTCTTTTTGAAAACATCTGGTCCACGCAGTGTAACTCCTGAGCTGGTGTCCACACTAGCAGACTCGATGATGTGCTTTGCTCCATTGAGGTGGGTGTACCATCCGCGGTTGCTCCCCGCGCAAACCTCGCCAATCACGAAGGCTAGGCAAGTCGCTGCTTTGGTCTCATACCAAGTAATGTCATTCTGTGGTGTGCTCAGAGCCGTGGCGAGATTGGTCATTGCCGTTGAGTGAGCCTCAATTGCCGAAAGCTTGTACGATTGGTCACTCAAAGCTAGGTGCCCTGAGGCAAATGAGACAAGTGCGTCGTAAAGGACAGACGACTCCATAGCCATGGGCAAGAACGCTGTAGCAGTCATGATCGTCAGGCCCTGTGTGCTGCGATGTATGATTAACTTGTGACTCACCTGATAGAAATGAGTTGAACTGCTCATTGACAGTCAGGTAATGACTGAGAATTTCGATGTAGTATCGCATGACCTGCCTCTTTTGTGGTGGCTCGCATGGCTCGATAATCGATACTTGCGGGCAGAGTGGGAAACACCGCAAACGCTGTGGTGAGTTGTCATCGGCGTCCGGAACCCCACGGGACGGTTTGGTTGACTGCTGTTTGCGATCAACCCAGCTGGGAGGCACGACATCGCGAGTCGTGCTTCGAACACACTTCAAATTCAAACGCGCGCATGCGCCACAGACTGGAAACGTGTTTTCGGTACACTTTTTGCGCCTACGTCCTCCGAGATTGTAAGAAACACGCACTGATGAAGGGGCTGCCGAAAAGATAAGGGTGCTCGGTGAACTCACCGATATCGGCAGGTCAAACAACCAGTCTTGTCGTGCTTAGACCCTTTCCTCCGGCGCGGATCAGTTTGAGAAACAGAGGCCATATTCGTCTTCGCTTAATTGAGCAAAAGGAAGGTCACGGCGAGTGGTGAAAGAAGATGTGCGGCGGCGTGTTGGGCGTAACAGGCGTGACGTAGGGATCTTTGGTGTTGAGAGGGAAAAAGAGGACCCCGATGGAAACCCAAGCACAGCGAGTGGATTAGAGACAGGAATAAGCGGAACTTTTCAGTCAGACTTTATTAGGACACTTTCCTAATTAAGTTTAGTGATTTGTTATCGGTCAATGTGTTCTTCCCCGCGTTGGCGTTGACAAGGACCGTCATCGGCACTGACTCCGCACGCCTTTCTTGTCATTTTAACTGCTCTTATCTAATTCGCTCGTTGAATTGACGCGATCAAGTGGGGAAGGCGTACCCGGGGGTCCAAGCGGCGCAGGCTAACGCTAGACCCCCTACTCACATAGGGGGCAAAAAAACAGGGTTTCTACGCAAAAAGGGGGTTTCTACCTGTATTACTAAAAATAGCATTTTTTAGTATTAACTTACTAAATTAATAACTTTTTATAATATAATTTTTAGCTTTAACTATATTATATAGTAATAAAAGTAGTATTATTATATTGATTTTAAGTAGGGCTATCTAGCTATATATATAATATTTATATATCTAGTATGAATATTGATAAGCTATAGATAATAACTAAATTATTACTTTCTATATTATTAATAATATATTTCTATTTTTTTACTATTAATATTAATAGAAGTATTATTAGAAAGTTACTCTCTTGTTACGACCCGTTATGCAGGATAACAGTTAACCGACCCACTTGGGCATCGAGCGGCTAGGACAGGACATTTGTATTGCAGGATCACGGGAACAACAGGGACTCGCTCGGAAACGGAAGAACTATGGTGCAAATCACGTGACGATAAGATAACGATCATATTGGATCAATATGATCCAACACGACTTGGGGGCCGAATGATCATTCTGGATCAGAATGATCCGGATCGACCCAAGGTACAAAGGAACATGTTCAGAGTTAGACTTGTATATAGT